TATTTTTTTTAGAGACTGAAAAATCTATTATATTTCACAAAGTTTAATTTTCCGGACATCATGCTGTGTCATCATCATCATCATCTTCGTCATAATCCTCAATGATGATGACGAAGAAGACACAAATTCATAAAAGATGAAGACGAGGATGTATATTGTAAATTGATGATGATGAGATACATACATACATTTTGGATGTATGAAAATGAAAATGAAAATTCAAAATTATTCCATTTATTTATCGTATCTAGATTTAGATTCAAAATTTCGATCGAATAATACAACAACACAACACACAAACAACGTACATGAATTTTAATTGAAGAATATCATCATCATCATTAATATAAAATCACACACGCACACACCCACTTGCCTTAAGCTTCGTTTATTTTTTTTTCTGGAGAGAAAAAAAATCAATTTCATTCAAAAGAATTTGAAAAAAAAAATTTTCTCTTTCTCTTTCGTTGATCATTCATTCATACATTTTTCATGATTGGTTTGAATAAATTACACATTGACGTTGTTTGTATGTCAATGTTTTAGCTTCATTTTCATTTTCATTTTCGTTCTTTCAATTTCATTTCACATCTCAACATCTTGTATGGATGCATTTATCATCACATATACAACGACGACCATCGAAATTATTCTGCATTGGGCTAGGCCTGTACACTGAGAACCAGTAATGAGAATGAAAATGAATGAATTAATGATCATTCCTTGAATTTTAGGCAATTTTTTTTTTTTTTTATTCATTCATTCACATTTTAATTTTATATTTCAAACCAGAATTTTTTTCACTCTCCCACAAACCACACATATTGTATATACTAGTCAATAATTTGTTTCAATTATGGCAGGAAAAAAAACAGAATTGAATTGAAAATCTGGATCATTTTGTTGTTGAAAATTACGATGTGTGCTGTATGCATGCATCCATGTGACAATAGAATCATCAGACAATAATAATAATAATGATGTGATGTGATGTGATGTGAATTGAATCGAAATTGATGCACGCACGCGCCTCGTAAATGTTTATGATTTTTGATTCAATTTTTTTTTCTTTTTTCTTTAGAATTTCGTTTTGATAAAATAATAATAATGTTGTTGTTGTTGTTGTTGTGGATCATTGTGGTTTGATTTGGTTTGGTTTCATTTTGAAAAGAATAAAAATTCTGTATATTAAAACCACCACCACCAGCAGCAGCAGCAGCAATATTGCAACGAAAAGGAAAATTGTAATTGTTTTTGTTGCCTTTTTTTGTCTGATGATAAATGATCTTGGATTCGGTCTGATCCATGGATTGTTGTTGCCATTATAATGATGATGATGATGATGATGATCGACCCATTTTAAACACACACACACACACCACACATAATAAAGTCAGAATTGTCACTCACACGACACACATATTTTTTTTTTTTTTTCTTTTGTCGCTGGTGACAACAAAATCATTCAACCAAAACAAAAACCAAACTAATATCGATATAACTAAGCTGTATGATTATTTATTAGTGAAGGCACTTGTGTGATTTACTGTGAAAATCATTCACATCTTCATTGTGTGTGTGTGTGTGTGTGTGAAAAGTTAACAAAAAAAAAATCCTTAAGACATTCGCATGACATTTACAATGATTCTGGTGATCATCATCGATCATCATCATTCTCAGAATTCGAAAAATTCTTTACAATTAATGAGATGAATATAATACTCAAAAACTCATTATTTCCATTATTCTTTGTATGAATAAAATGACAAGTCACAGAAAATATATTGCGATCCAACCGAAATAATAATTGTTCAGTTTTCTTTTGTTTCAAACAAAACCATTTTTTTTTTTTGATGAATATAAATCGAATACATTATACTCGATTATTCCAACCGAAAGTAATTAGTCTGATTTGACATTTTTCGTTTCCAAATGTAAATTTTTTTGTTTTGTTTCGTTTAATAATGATTATTAAAATGATGATGATGATGATTTGGACCACATAAGAGGTCCATGATGGAAAAAAAATTGGATCGCATGGTTTCTGGAACCTTGCTGTGTTTTGTGTTTTGTGTTTTGTTTTGGTTCGCCATGAAATGTACAATCCAAAAACAATATACAAGTTGCTATGGTTGACCATTATATAATGAGATGAGAGATCCATTAACACAATAGAATTCATTCCGAGAATGTATCCCATTTGTGGTGTTTTTTTTTCTTCATTGTTTATGTAATCAAATACATTTTCTAGTGTCAAAATATTGATTTGTATAATGTAATTTTATAGATTGATGTGTTTTGGGTTCACCAATCATCATCATCAGCATTAAGTTCTAACCATACTAAATGGAAAACTGTCATCTGCTGTTGTTTAATGGACATATTTTTAAAAAATTTTTTTGACAATCATTTTGGATTGGCATAACGAAAAATGATTTTTTCGCGTTCATCAAAGTTCTTTTCATCATCATTATTATCAATATATGGAGCTTTAATCCTCCACAAATAAAGCTTCTTCACACTTAAACATACACACACACACACATCATATATATATAATAATGATGATGATAATAACGCCCACAGTTTTTACTTTTTTTTTTTTTTCATACGCACGCTCCATCAATGATCCATGATAGTTGAAACATGTTCTTTTACTTTCACCATTCACCACCATATGGATATGGAAATGATCCGTTTGAACAATTTGGATGAACAAAAAAAAAATAGTTTAGTTTTTTTTTATAGAGAATCCTATTAACCGAATAGAATATAGAATATATATGGGTATAAATAAATGGTTCCAGATGAAAAAAAAATCTATGGTTTCTGCGCAGAATGAAAAAAAAACTAGTTCATTTATCAACCAGCAAAAAAAAATCAAACCAAACTCAAACCAAAAAGTAGTGGTGGGTTGTACAATACAGTGAAAAAATAGGAGGTACCAGTTAGAACTCAATCAGAATAATCTACATGCAAGTGAATGGGATTAGGCCACACCTGTTTTTTTGTTTGTTCTTATGTATGTACTGATGAATAGAGTATAGAACACAAAAGGTAGACTGTAAAAAAAAAAATGGTAAAGAACAAATGAATATTTCAACTTGGTGGAATCAACAAAAAAAAAAAAAAAAAAAAAAGATAAAAACACGCCTTTTCAATAGAACAGAAACAGACGTGAAAAAAAAAAAAATGCAATAAAGAGGATTATACTTTTGAACATTTTATATACGCATTGCATGCATACACACACACACACACAAAGAGAATTTTTTTTTTTCCTTTTTTTGCTTCTGCTTCTTCATCTTTCAATTTCTCGAATTTATTATCCTCATTCGTTCGTTCGTTTGTTCATTGCTCAGCTACACAACAACAACACACAGACACACACACACACCACGAATCATATATATATACGTTAATAACGTAAACGTGGCCATCACCAAAATACCAATAAAAAAAAAAAAAAAAAAAACGCTACCACACCATCACAACTACAACAACGAAAATAATAAAAACGAAAAAAAAAACAAAAGTTCATATTGGCCCCACTCTCATATAATCATCATCATCATCAATATATATTCAGATCAGATCATCCAGATTCACAGTGGGTTACCTATACTCTTCTCTCTCTCTCTCTCTCGCTCTAACACTCTTTTTCTCTCGATGTATTCGTTTGTTTTTGTATGGTGTGGTCAGTTTTTGTAACCAGCAATCATCAAAAAAAAAAAAAAACAACAACAAAACAAAACCAAAACAAAAATACGATACTTATATCATCATCATCATCATCATACTCAGTTCAAAGATTCAAAATTACAGAAATTTTTTTTTTTTTTTTTTGAAATCGAAACCTGGGTGGACAATCGAATAATGTGTGTGTGTGTGTGTCGGTGTCGATGTAAGTGAAAACACAGCAAGATAGATAGTGAGAAAGAGAAAAAAAAACTGTTATAATTTGTGCTGTTTAATAATAATGATCATCATCATCATCATGATGATTTCAATTTGATAATAATATTCACAGCGTGTGCGCCTAAAATCATCAAAAAAAAAAAAATGATTGTTTATCCGTTTTTTTTCTTTGTTAATATTCTTTAAATTCTTCTGTCTTTAACTCACTCAGTGTTTGTGTATATGGATCTGTTTTTTTTTCATAATAAATCCTTTGAATGATCTTGAATGGATCATCCGATGATGAATCTGGTTGTTTAATGAAAAAAATGAATATTCATTTATTCCATCCAACTCCATTTGTGTCTTCAAGAGCTTAAAAATAATTTTCATCTTTTTTTTCTGGAGCTTTTCTGCTTCTTTGTCATAATTTGAATCAACGAACGAAAAAAAAAATGAAATTCTGACCTTTGAAATTTTAATTTGTCAATTTTCTTCGTTTTCTGTTATATTGATCTAATTCTTATCATCATCATCATCATCATCATTATAAATGTGTGTGTGCAGAAACGTGTTCAAGTATCGATTACAATTTTCACATGCACTAAACACTAACGATACACATGTACACTAATTATTACATTTACGGCCAATATTGATAAGTGAAATTTATAATTTTTGCACCGTAGCTGATTAATCAAGTTCATCATCAATTCATTCATTTACTCACTTTGTTTATTTGTAAAACTGAATTTATTTTTTTTGTCGAAGAAATTATTGTTTTTTTTTCTTGCTTCTGATCATGATGAAAGATGCTTAATCCTTTTGTTCAAAATATTTTAATAACATCATCATCATCAGCATCATCACCACCGCCACCACTACTACCACCATCTGCATCATCGTTTCATCATCATCATCATCAACAATATCAATATGAACGACAACAGCAACAACAATTGAGAATGAATTATTTTAATCAAGAATCATTTCGAATTAAACGTGAAATATTTGATCAATCAGATTCAATGTCAACAGCAACAACAACAACAACCACATCAATATCACCATTTTCATCATCATCGTCATCTTCGTCGATAATTAAACAAGAAACACAAACAAATACCGGCGATATTGTATTACAACAGCAACAACAATCAACAGAAATTGATCGTACAATGTTTTTACAATCAATTTCTGTTCATCAACAAAATTTAAAAGCAGAAAATTCAACAATGATATTCTCATCACCATCTACACAAAATTCAACAACAACAACAACATTCGATGAACAACATTCACATGGTATGGATGATCTTTTACAACAACACCAACAACAACAACAGACATCATCATCATCGGAATCATCATCAACGATAACAAAAACAACGACTACATCGACACCATCGATAGTTAGTGCGGCTACTGTAACATCAATGTATCATCGTGCTGCGGCAGCAGCAGCGGCGGCTGCGGCTGCTGCCGCTTCTGTAAATGTTGGTGGTGGTGGTGGTGGTGGTGGTGATCATCATCATCATCATCATAGTCATCATCAACATTTAAATCATTTAAATACAAATTATTCTTCATCACATCATCCTCATCATATTGCACATCCACCACATCATCATCAAACAATTGATTTTAATAATACAACAGCAACAGCAACAACTGTTGTTGGATCAGCAATGGCTGCTGCTGCTGCAGCACATGCTGTAAATCATCATTATGGACATTTAACAGCAATGAATCCAATACATCATCAAAGTGCTGCATTATTTCGTTATATGTGCCATAATAATAATAATAATAATAACAACAACAACAACAATTCATCATCAACATCATCATCACCGACAACTATGACAACGATAATCAATAATAATACTAATAATAATAACAATAAACAAGAATTGATTTGTTTATGGATTGATCCTGATCAGCTATTGAAAAAACCATGTAATAAAACATTTCATTCAATGCATGAAATTGTATCACATATTAGTATTGAACATGTTGGTGGTCCTGAATGTTCCAATCATACTTGTTTCTGGATCGATTGTCCAAGAAATGGAAGACCATTTAAAGCAAAATATAAATTAGTCAATCATATACGTGTACATACTGGTGAAAAACCATTTCCATGTCCATTTCCAGGATGTGGTAAAGTATTTGCACGTAGTGAAAATCTTAAAATACATAAACGAACACATACAGGTAAGTTATTCTATACCAAAAAAAAAACATTTAAAACAAAACAAAAAAAAACTTTTGCCATAATTTAAAAAGAAAATTTGTTCGTGTTTGATACCAATTTTGAGGTTAGGAAAGCAAAAAAATTTTTTAGACCATTTCTTCTATTTATTTGTTTTTTTATTTGTGTGTGTGTGTGTGTGTGAAACCAGAAACAACAAAATGAAACTCATAAATTAACTAGCAAAAAAAAAAAAAAATGGAATAAAAACACACACACACACCAGACATTGGACTACATTTGAATTTTTCATTTCATTATGGCTACTACTTTGAAAGGATCATATCATATCACATATCTCAGCATCGACTAATAACGTGTGTGTGTGTGTGTGTGTTTTCTAGCTTCTTTACTTTTACTATCGATTTGTATTTGTATTTTTTTTCTCTTTCGTTTTATAAATGCCTTTAGGGGTGAATAAATATTTACGAATTTTTTTTCTTTTCAATTTTTTTTTTGATCATATTGAAATTTTTTTTTGTTGTTGTTGTTGTCTTGAAGAAAAGAAAACAAAAAAAATGATGATGATGATGATTATGGTTCTTGAGGGAAACAAATTTCATTTCTGCAAGTTTTTTTTAGTTGAAATTAATACATCTGATGATTGTTGTGTGTGTGTGTAAGTGTGTGCGAGCAGCATATATTAGGTACATCTTTTTTTTAGGTCCATCATAATATAATATAATGATGATGATGATGAAAAACGAGAAAGAGAAATGAAAAATTCAAGTTTTCACTTGAAATGATGATCAATGTTTTGTCGTTGTCGTTGTTGTTGCTGTTTTGTGTTTTTTTTATTATTAAAGCAATGTTGATGATTGCTTCATTGCTATAAAGCTAAAACCATGGATGAATGAATGAATGAATGAATGAATGCCAAGGATATATATGACTTTAAGCATAAAGATTTTTTCTTGATTTTTTTTTTCTTAGAAACGAATTTTTTTTTCCCCATAAAGAATCTCTATAGTAGAAAGAAAGTTATATGACCACTGTGTGTGTGTGTGTGTGTATTTGGAATTTCATCTGTTTTTTTTTCGTGAATAATTATTGTATCGACAATTGGTCCGAAAATTTTTCGTTTGCAGGCCACTGCCCATCTGTTTTTGTTTTTGTTTTATATTATCATTGTTTTCCGTATGCTATATAGATCATTGTTGATTTTTTTTTTTTTTTTTGGTTGTTGAATACTTTTATTATAGTTTATTTTATTTTATTTGTTTGTTTCACCCACCTTTATGATGATGATGATGATGATGTGATGAATCATTCGAAAAAGACACAAAAAAAAACTGTTCATCAAATGATTCAGGATTCATTCATTTACACAGTTTTTTTTTCCCCATTACAAATATCCAATCCATTTTTCATCAACAATCTTTCATGATTATACATCTTGTAGTTTCTTTCTTTCTTTATTTTTCCAAGTATGTTTGATGGATTGTTTGATATATATGTAATGTAATGTAGTTTTTTGAAAAAAAAAATTTTCAATTGTCTGTCTATGTGTGTGTGTGTGTGTGTTTGCATAACATGTGTATGAATAATGATTATTCATATCCGATTTTTTTTTTTTTTTTTTCATTCCATAATTGTCTGTCTGTGTGTGTGTGTGTGTGTGTGTGGTTTGTTTGTTTTGTTTCATTTTTTTTTCATCATCATCATCATCATTATTATCTACTAGTTATTGTTTATTATACAAGATTTTTTTTTTTGCCATAAATATGTGTGGACACCATGTATATTAGCAAAAGCAACCAAGCAAAAGTCAACCTGTAATTGATATATTGTAAAGATGATATACATACATACAACATAATATCATCGTTTTTTTTCTCTGAATTTCAAAAAAAAAAAAAATCTGTATATATGTTGTATGTCCACCACTACACAACCGAAACAACATAGCCGAATGACAATGATTTATGATTTATAATGTAGTTTTAGTTTTTTGAATTTTTTTTTTGTTTTGTTTTGTTTTTGTTCGACCAAAAGAGAGAGAGACAATATATGTTATTGGGCGCGACTTGATTATTGATAGCCGTCGTTGCCGTTGTTGTTGTTGTTGTTGTCAAGCATTGTTAAGAAGGTCCAAGAACACACACACACACAGATATACAAAGAGAGAAACGTAAACAAAATATGGGACATAATTTTTTTTTTCTAACAGAATGTCCAGAGAAAAAAAAACAATAGCCCAACTTTAACTTTAGTTCATCAATCAGTCGTTTTTGGTTGTTGTTGTTGTTGTTGTTGTTGTCGTTGAATTGATGAATTTATATTGGTTTTTGTTTCTTAGTAGAAAAAAAAAAATAAATAAATGACCACATTCTGAACAACATGTTCGTACATAAAGACAATACAAAGGAAATAAATAGAAAAAAACTTAAACTAAACTAAACGAAATGAATCACTTACAATTTGGTTTGGTCATCATATACAAAAAAAAATTCAATCCACTGGTGTCACACCTGAAATTATTATCATTATTATTGCCAGGGAAGGTCATACAATTCATTTTATTGATTATTGTCAAATGAATGATTATACCTGATGATGATGATGATGATCATCATAAGTGACACCAATGACCACCAATCATAGTCACATGATAGGTAGCTAGGCAAAACAAAAAAAAAATACTAATTGAAAATTTTGTGAACCTTATCGACCAGAAGAAGAACAACAGATTCATGAGACAAGAAAATTCGTAAAATTGATTCGATATGGTTAGTTTTTTTTGTTGTAGAAGAAAATTTTTCATTCATTATCAAATTCATTTTGAAACACATGCACACACACACACACACACACACAAACAGAATATAGTGCATGACAAACTAAAGAATTCTCTCACCTCGATTACTTTTACCTTGAACCTATGAACATTATCATTGTCTATGTAAAATTTTCATATACATTGTATACACACACACACAGGAAATTCTTCCTATTTTTACATTATTCTGTTTGACATTTTTGTTTATTTATTTGTCATCATGTCCACTTGTAATTTAATATAATTTTGAGCTTTCATCTTCTTATAATTGTTTATTTTTTTTTTTATTAGTTGAAAAATTAATTGACTTTTATTTCTGGCTACCTTTTCGTCTCAATGTTTTGTTTTGTTTGGTTTGGTTTGGCTATAGCCACACTTTCTCATTCTTTTAAGGTTTTACGTTTACGTTTATTTATGATTTGCAGAAATGATTAGTCCAATTTCAATTACCTTACTTTTACTTTGAATGGTCTCGTTTTACTCTAAAGATACCCTCAGTTTTTTTTTTGGTGGAAAATCCACTTCATCTTCATCAACTTGATGATGATTGGCCACAATTTACTTCTTTGATACACACACACACACACACAAACACAAACACAAAAGTAGGCAATTAATTCGTGACTAGCTAATATTTTTCTTTTCGTTTAATTGTTTTTCTTCCATTTTGGTTGCTGTTGCTGTGATTTTATATTCAAACATCTGCATTTGGCTTTCATCATTTTTTTTACAAACAAAATTTTGTCCACTCTCATTTGATGATGGTGTGATGATAACTCTCATCATCATCATCATTGAGTATCAATTTTTGTGTTGAAATTTTTGTATTTGAAAACAGAGAAAAAAAATCTCATGTTTTGATTTCCTTATTACTCAAAAAAAAAAAAAAATTTTTTTCTAGGGCAAATCTAATTCGTTTCTAATTGAATGTGTGTGTGTGTGTGTGTGTTGATGATAGTATGATGCCATCATATTATTAAAATGGTAACTCGTTTTTTTTCCTTTTTGAAATAAACAATTCCTGAACAAGAACATAACCATATTTCACCAAATAACATCTCACTTCACACATACACAATTAATCGATTTAGTCATTATGATCATCATCATCATCATCAAATTCTGAAAACTTTTACAAGTTTTTCACCATTCATCCATCGTTGATTTCATTATTGCCCATCCACACACACACACACAGAGAGAGAAACACAAAACACACCCATCTTCATCAAATGATTTTCAGAAAATCAAAAAAAAAAAAAAAAAAATGAAACGCTGAACAAATATAAAAAAAAACATTTGTGAAAAAGAATATATATATATACTACACATAGGAAAGTGAATAGCAAAAAAAAAAAAACGTTTCAAATGCAGAACAAAGTTTCATCATCATCATCATCATCATTGATTGATTGAATGAATGAATGGTAAAAAAAAATACATGAAAACTGTCATAAACAGAGCAATATATATATATACAATCCACACATATTTACTATTGAATTTTCAATTGAAATTATTGTATTTTGTGTGTGTGTGTGTTTCTAAATTGTGGCAAAAAAAAAAAATGCGACCGACCGCATGCCGTGAGACCATCATCATCATCATCATCATCATCATTCTTTTTTTTTTTTGTTTGTTATTATTCAATTCTATCATCATCATCATTTACTGTTGTTGATGATGATGATGTGTATGGTTCCAGTGCTTATATCAACCAACAATACACACACACACACACACATAACAATCAAACAAAAATGAAATATTTTTTTTTCCAATCTCCCGATGATGATGATGATGATTATGACGTATGTTTTTTTTTTCTTTCTTTCTCAAATCATCATCGTGTTACCACCTCTCTCTTGGTTTGGTTCGAATACACAAACACACCCAATTTTATTTTTTTTTTTTTTCACCTTTAATTTCAATTTCATTAACAGATTCATGAATGAACAGAATTATTATTATTGTTGTCTTTTTTTTTTTTCGCTATTATTTACCAACATCATCATTATATATTCTGATGATTTTGATGAATAATTGCCTTTTTTGATTATTTGAATGAATTTTTTTTTTGTTTTGTTTTGTTTTTAACACATCCGAAGAATTTCTTTTATTTTCTTTATTATCCTTGTATTCATTCAAAGATTATTTATGATTATTGATCGATTGTTTTTTTCGTTGTTTCGGGTTTCCCTATTGTGTTGTTTTGGGTGATGAAAAAAAAAATCAGTTCATCATCAAAAATATTTCATTCGAATTTCCCCTTCGTATTTTGTTCATTCATTCAATTTTTTTTTTTGTTAAAAATTTCAACCAAACCAAACTAAACTCAATCACCAATTTAGTCGATCGATGTTTGGGGTTCGTTTATTCGATCAATCAATCAATCCATCCATCCGTCCGTCCATATATCTATCAATCAACCAGACACATTTAGAGGGAGAATTTTTTTTATCATCGCACACTATGGGCACATTTTTTTGGTTGAACAAAAAAAATTGTTTGGAAATAAAAAGATTACTCGTTGATTTCGTTATTGTTGTTGTTGAATAATTTTTAACTTTTATTACAAGCAAAGAAATGAATTCTTTTGCTGCATTTTTTGGATCAAAATAATTTTTGTCTAAATCCGCTTTAAATTTGTGTGTGTGTGTGTGTGTGTGAAAATATAAATTGATCATCATTTTCATAGTCAGATCCATTAGGGAGATTATAAAGACAAGTGGAAAAAAAATTAGATAACTAAATTTTGCCATCATCCAATCCTTTTTTACAACCAACCAAACATTGACCAATAATTCCAAAATGGTACAAAATACATTTTTTTTTCATTTGCATTATTATCTTACCTTGTGATCAATTTTAGTTGTCATTTATTGTGTGTGTGTGTGTGTGTGTGCATGTGTTTTTTTTCTGTTTGAGATTGTGATAAATCCAGAAGACAACAGAGTAAGAAAAGTGAGAAAAGTCACAACTTGTGTTTTTTTTTTTTTACTTATTCTAAAACGAACGAAAGAATTATGTAGAAAAGTAGAAAATTGTGAACATTCCATTTCATACCACCGACAACAAAAAAAAAAAAAAAAAAAAAAATGTGAAAGTTGTGACATGAAATAGAGGAGAAAAAAAACAACGACAACAACAAAAATATTCATTGAAGCCATTTTGGGTTTAGGGTAAAAATGATAAAACCAAAAAAAAAAAAAAAACGTTAACGAGTGAAATTTTGAAGACAAACAAAAAAAAAAAATTTTTTTTGCAGGTGTTTTACAGGTGCCCTGAAGGCAGCTTGATTAGAAAAAAAAAGAAAAACTTATTCTTTACCTGAACAAAATATCTTCTGGACATATAAATAAAAACGACCAGGATAAATGACCACAACAAACAAGAACATAATTCTTTTTTTTTCTTGTCGTTGTAGAAGAGTTTTGAATACTTGTTGTTGTTGTTGTTGTTATTATAACAAGAGATTGAAGATTGTAATCTGGAATGTTTGTTATTATTAATTTATTTGTACTTGTAGTTTAAGTTGTTGTTGTTGTTGTTGTTTTTCGATCAAAAAAAAAGAAGAAATCTATTGTGTGTGTGTGTGTGTGTGTGTGTGTGTATTGGTAAATTTAGATTACTAAACGATAGATCTATCTAACACATGAACATTTATCACACATTTTTGTTTTTATTTATTTCGAATAAAAAAAAATACATCTTAATTATGGATCTTCTGATAATTATAAATAAAAACACATCGCACTTAAGCTATCTATCTCTACTCATATGTTTGTATTTTGTCCGTTTGAAACTTTCAAATGTTTACATGATGATATGGTTAATAAAATGTTTGATTTTTCTAACAAATTAATTAATTTTTTTTTTCTCTAATTGATTTCTTGTTTTTTCGTTTTTGTTGTTGTTTCGTTCACAGGTGAAAAACCATTCAAATGTGAATATGATGGTTGTGAAAGACGTTTTGCAAATAGTTCGGATCGTAAAAAACATTCACATGTACATACAAGCGATAAACCATATAATTGCAAGATAAAAGGTTGTGATAAAAGCTATACACATCCAAGTTCATTACGTAAACATATGAAAGTACATGATAATAATAATAATAAACCACAATCATTATCATCATCATCATCATCAATGTCACCAATGTCACCAACATCGTTATTAAATAATAATAATAATCATATGTCAATAGATAATAATAATTTGGCTCGTAATAATAATAATATTGATCAACTATCATCATCGATAGCTAGTTCAAATAATGGTTCTGGATATGAAAGTGATGGTGGTGGTGGTAATGATCATCATATAATAGCCAATGCATCAAGTCCACCAATTAATAATAACAGTAATAGTAGTACGGCATCACATAATTATCAACAACAACAATCGCAACATCATAATCATAATCGTTTACTTACAACAGCAACATCAACAACAAATTCATATTTATCAGCATCATCATCATCATCATCACCGCATCATCATCAAGGTATTCAACATCATCAAACAAATTTATCACTTCATAATCAACAGCAGCAACAACAACAACAACAACAACAACATCACATGAATCATCATCAAATTAATACGAATAATAATCATCAAACAATTTCAAATGGACTATCATCACAACATCATCATCTATCTCATCACCATTATCCACATCATAATATGCATCAACAACAACAACAACAACAGCAACATTTACATAATAATCAAAATATAAATCAAAATCAAAATAATAATTTCACAATGTCACCACCATCACCATCGACAACATCAACAACAACAACATCATCAATGTTATCAGCATTAGGTGATCAACAAAATCATCTTCATCAACATCATAATCATCAAACACATCATGGACCTACACCACCACCACCACCACCACCATCACATGGACATCATCATCAATGGTATCATACAATGTCACAAACAAATACAATGGCGCCACTTGGACCTGGACATGGACATGGTCATCATCATGTATCGTCTTCAAATAATCATCATCCTCATTATGAGACATCACACTTAAATCATCATCATCATCATCCAGCATTAAGTCATCATCATCATCATCATACGGCATTAACATCACCATTCCATCATCATCCTCATCATCATCATCATCATCATCATCCGCATCTAAATGCTGCAATCTCATATTGATTCAGGAATTTTAAAATTCATTTTTTTTTTTTGGCTTCATCATATTCTGAAATATATAAATTATTTATGTGTACACATTAAGATTCCTAGTCAACACAACACAACACACACACACACACCATGTAACAATTGCACTGTTTCAAATTTCAATCAAAAAAATACACACAAACAAATTTTCTTGATTAATTGATTGTAATTAATTAAAATCAATTTGATGCTGACTTTGGCAGAAAAACAACAACCAATAACAACAACAACAACAATATTCTCTCACACACTCAATCTCGATTTTTTTTTGTGATAAAATAATAATAACGATATATATTATGATTACTATTAATTACTGACATTGATAAATTCGATGGAAAAATGAGAATAAAATTGCTGAATACTTTTGTTTATCAAAAATTGAAATTGAAATTTTTTTTTTTGTTTTCACTTATTTTTAAAATAATTTCGTTTTTGGTTTCACATTGCAAAAAAAAACCGAAATTTCAATTTCATCCAGAAATCATTTTTTTGATGGCTGTCAGATTTTTTTTCCAAACGATAAAACGATTAGATTATTGATTGAAGATTGACAAATATTTAGACAAAATGTTGTGGTGAAATAGTGGACAATCATCAATGATATATAAAGTGTTTTTGTTGTGTGATGAAATGTTTTTCATTTAAAATTCACTCTATACACACACTAAACTCATTTTGATTCATAATATTTTCAAAAAAAACAAAATCCATTTTCATTCAATTCAAATTTTAAAAACTCGATAAATAAATCTAGATCATCATCATCATCATAATATAGACAATGTGTCAGTCATCATCATCAATCTGAATCGACAAAAAAAAAGAGAATGAGAAAGAAAAAAAAAAGTTTGGACAACAGTCATCATCATCATCATCATCAAATGGGGAAAAAAACCATATTAAATGAATGAATGAATAATCAGCAGGCGTTTTTATTTCAAATTCGATTCGATTCGCATCCAATCTTATTTTGTTTTTTTTTTTGTCTTTCCATTTCTTGATTTGTCTTCAAATCAAATTAATTGTTTTCTATATTTATATAATAAATGTGAATGAATGATGTTTCTTTTATTGTTGTGTGTGTGTGTGTGTGTGTGTACTATATGTCCATCACACAAACAAAATTTCTCTTTTCTCGTTGTTGTTGTTGTTGTTGTCCATATTATTACATCCGTTCATCAACAACATCGACAATCATCTGAATCTCAATCCAGTCAATCCATCTATCCATCTATCTATCGTATCAAGAAGAAGAAGAAAAAAAATTTTTAAATGTGATTGAATGACGTTTTGTGTATACAATAATTGTCTGTATGTGTGTGTGTGTGTGTGTATGTATGAGTAATTCAAACAATCAAATCAAATCTTTCAAATAAATCGATGTAGTTTTTTTTTGTTTTCTCTCTGCTGTTGTTGTTGTTGTTGTGAATGAAATGTGAAATTTGAATTGAAATGAATAAAATCCTGACTTGTAATGAAGCAAAAAAAAAAAAAAAAAAATAAAACGGATGCAAATGAAACAAAAACAAGCAAATAATGATAATAAATATAGTATAAATGGACAGTCCGACAAAATATTTTATTTTCTTCTAATAATAAACAACAACCACCACCACCACCACCATCAGCAGCAGCAGCACAAATTGTTGATTATCATTAAAATGAAATGAAAATTTTTTTTGTTTTTGCAAATGTTTCTCTTTTATTCGATGCATTTTAATGCTGATTTATCGCTAATAAATAACAAAAATTTTTTATTCTTGAATCAAACAACAACACAGAAAAGTTTCATTAATTCTAACACATTTGAATTTTCATTTTTATCTTTTATCTTTGTAATTATCATCATGACAATTAACCATGAATAAATGATGATGATCATCATCATCGTGTATGATTTTTTTTACGCATCCAAAATATCACCAGTTGATTATTGATTTGAATTTTGGGTGAAAAAATTGCGTTTTTTTCCCTTCTCTAGCACTTTTTCTTCTGGAATGCCGACAAACATACACACACACACATACGCACTGCTACTGGATAATTACAAGTTTTACATTTACCGTATTGACTAACTAGACAAGCTTTTTTTCTTTGATAGTTGATATCGTGCTGGTGTGTGTGTGTGTGTGTGTATGTTGGTTTAACCAGTTAATTATATATATAGTTTTATACCCAATTATTATCTGAATTAGTTGCTTAAATATACGGTATCAGCACCTTTAAAACACACACACACACACACGAACAATCGAAAGAGAGATTGATAGAGAGATAAACAAAACAAAACAAAACAAAAAATCAATGATTTGCACGTGTTTTCATCATTATTTTATAGTGTTTTTTTTGTTAAAAAAAAATCTCCAAAAACAAACAAACAGACAACTTGAATTCCACTTGAATTGATAAAATATCGAGATAAGATAGATAAATGTAGATAAATAAACAATCAAAAATCGATACATCATCAATGATCAAATCTGTAAGAAAAAAAAACAAAAAACAAAAACGACGTGGATTACGATTGATAATGATGATGATCAATCCAACAAAAAAAAATCTTTTGAATTCCAATCATTGAATGAGAGAGAGAGAGAGAAATAACCACAAAAAAACGAAGAAAAAAAAATTATTGCCCGAAAAAAAATAAAGGTCAACAGAAAATGAATGAATATAAATAAATAATCGATTTTTTTTCCTCCTGAGCTCATCATCATCATCATCATCAAATATTTCATTTCCATTTACAAAAAAAAAAAAACAAGATAGAGAGGTACGCGCTTTCGTTTTGTTCGGTCATCATTGTGAATGTGACCGGGGCCCGAAAAAAAAAATTCGTCCGAAATTTTTTTTCTGTTTTATTTTAAACGTCGTCATTATGGCCTTCCAGCTTTCCATGTTCATTCGTTTTTTTTTACCTTGATCATCATCATCATCATCATCATTCAAAATGTGATCTGCATTCATTTTGACATTTTAATAAATTAGATTCATTGCATTCTTTTCGTTTTTTTCTTTTCTCATAAACTGCCCAGGCCAAGACAGGCCAACAGAGTGTCCTGTTCTTTTTATTTTTTTTTTTTTTTGTTTCACTTGATCAGTATTGGCTTTTTTCTTTCATTTTTTTTTCTCCTTCTTCTTTTTTAAGAAAATATATAAAAAGTAGGACGATGAAGATGATGATGATGTCTGATGATGAGTACCCACCACCACCACCACCACCACCACCACAAGAAAAAAAACCACAATAACCATAACTACAACAACAAACAACCATAACGACTTTGGTAAAACGATCGATCTATCTATCTATCTATATATCGTACAGTTGATCATCGTCAATAACGATATGATGATGATGATGATAATCAATCTGGACACGGTATGTGAACGATATTGATCTCTCTCTCTCTCTCTCTCTCTCTCTCTCTGGTGGTTTTTTTTCTGGTGGTCACCTTACTTCTCTTTGTGAACAAACGAATAAAAAAAATGATTGGCCCAATCAAATGGAGATTCTTATCTTGGCCTATACCTGTTGTTGTTGTTGTTGTTGTTGTTTATTGTCGATGTTGACGATCAATTCGTTTGGTTTTTTTTTGTTTTGTTTCAAGAACGTGTCCAAGAGATTTACAGACATGATTTTTTTTTCTTCTATCTTTTTTTTTTTTTTTTTTTTTTTGATTGTCAAACACATAAACACAATAAAAAACACACACAGAGAGAGAGAGAAAGAAAGAAAGATAAATAAACAACAACAACAACAACACAAAATTGATACAAAAATCAATAACAAATTCAAGCAAAATTCAAGTGCCAAGTTTTTTGTTTTCTTGTATTTGTAAGATCTACACAAAACAATTTTGTCTTTTTGAAAAATGAAAACATTTGTTTCGATCTTTTTTTTCACAATTTATGATAATAATAATAAATAAATAATATAATATGACCAAAGGTCAAATGTAAAATTAAATTAATGATCATTTATTATTATTTTTGGTTTTGCCATATCAATTACCGTTATTGCAATTCGAGACACACACACACACACACTCTTGAAAAAGTCAATCAATTTATTTGTGGTAGATGACCACAAAATATCATAGCCATATGGTCCTTGATATGAATAAAATGATGATGATGATGATATCATGTTTCATACAAAACAGCAGTAATCCAGGAAAAAATGAAAGAAACACACAGATATTATCAATATAAAATGGAAAAATCCATCAAGATAAGCCGATAAATTGGTAGGTAAGTGGTTAAATAACAATAAATCGTCTCACCTTTCACATGAACATACACACACATACATGGTTGATCGAATTTGATTTTGATTTTTTTTTTTTTTTTTTTGATTATGATCACCATATAATATGACTAGATGAATGAAAATTCAGTTCAATGAACATCAAGAGATAGAGAGAGAGAGAGAGAAAAAAATAGTTACCGGCTTGTGCAATATTTATGCCGGTAACAACAACAACAAAAAAAAAATATGTTCCTGAATAACAACAACAAAAAAAAATGATTTTGGTGTAAATAACGTTCGAAAATTTCTTTTTCCACACACACACACACACACATCATAATCATCATAATGAATGAATGAATGAATGAATAATAATGTCTCATTTTTTTTTGAATTTGTCTCAATTAGAGAGTACTAAATAATTGGAACCTATTTTTCTGATGTTAATGTTGATCCATTGAATAATGTCTGTGTGTGTGTGTGTGTGTGTGTGTGTGAATGATCGAATGAATGAATGAATGTGAATTGAGAGAAAAAAAAACTAACATTGTCCTCTTCCTACATTTTTATTCATTCATGTTTTGGATCATTATTTTTCATTTGGTAACAATAACAACGAAAATCGGTCCTTCAATTATTATTATTATTATTATTACGGTCTATATGTGTGTGCTGGTGTGTAATGTCAACAATTTACAATTCACACATCAAATGTGAATGAATGAAAGGAAAAAAAAAAATTTTTTTTTTCAATTTTTTTTCTGAATGATCCACATAGATATAGAATGAATTTCCTACATCGACATCGTCCAATAGATAATGTTTTCAAATGAATAATTTTCATTCTCTCTCCCTCTTTAGTTGTTGTCGATTCAAATCCTCCCATTAAACCATGTCACACACACAGACAGACAAGTCGAGTGTCCAATCTCTGCACTTTAAATTGATATTCTATTTTGCCTTTCTCTGGCCAAAAAAAAAAAAAAAATTGAAAATGTATGTGTGTGTGTGTGTGTGTGAACAACAACATAGCCGACAAAATCGATTTGTTTGTCAATTGTGTATTTTGTGATTATTTAGTGTGGTAGTTGGTAAATAGTCATTGAATCTTTGACACACACACACACACACACACACTCGAAAATGTAAAGGACTGTGTGTGTTGTGACGACTATGTCAATCTCTCTCTCTCTCTCTCTTAATGTTCTAGGACCCGAGAAAAAAAAGAAGGTTTTTTTTTGCTGTTGTTCGTGATGTTCAATGTGGTTGTCGTACAACAACAACAACAACAACAATAACACAAGCATCATCTATTCAACAATCACATACATATTATATATGCAGGACCCAAGTGTGTGTGTTTTTTTTATGTTTTAAAAATCGATTTAAATCATTGAAATCTCTTTGAATAATAATAATAATAATACTCTATATATATAAGTCTATCGATATAATGTTTTTGTTTTGTCTTCAAATGTGAATAGCTTTATAACAAAAATATTTACATTTCTCTAGGTCTCGGGTCCATCTCTTTTGTTTTGTTACACGGATGACAACAACAGTTATGGCACACACACACACACACACACATAGAAACACAAACAAAAACGAGTGTTATTATTGTTGCCGACAAGCTTATAACGGGATTCAAAACAAAACAAAACAAAAAAAAATTATTTCCTCCCTTAGTCTCTTTTTCACCCCTCTTTTCGATACGGATTTTATACCGTTCCTGGAACATTTGTTGTTGTTGTTGTTGTTGTTGTTCACCTACATTGACACACTGTCTCTCGGTCAATGACGACAACAAATAAAGCAAATTATAATATTAAAATTGTCAAATTGTAATAGTGGAAAAAAAAGACAATTGAACATTAACAACAACAACAACAAGAGAAGAGCGGAGCAAGCCATTGTCATCATCATCATCATCATCATTTGTATGTATACCATATGTATTTAAAATGAATGTTAGTTAGAGAATATTATTCAAATGGAAACAAAAATCGAATAAAAATTATCCAAATTTTCAATCCAAAAAGATTTCGACTCAATGATCATTTTCTCTCATTTTTCTAGTGACCTTCATCAAATACACAATCGATAGGATCGATATTTTGATTTTCAACAACAACAACAACAACAACCAACAACAATCTAAAATGATGAAAACACCTGAATTTTTTTTTTCCTCATAATGAAAATGGATAGAAAGATTGGCAGGCCAAAATTTTGAAATAATTTCAACTTTGCAGATGGTCCATGGTTTGTTGTGGTCAATGTTTTTTTCCATTTCATGAATGAATGAAAAAAAAATGAAAAAAGAAAAAACTAATTTCATTAATGAAAAAAAAAGAAATTCATCAACAGCCAGAAACCAAAAAAAAAAAAAAAAATTAATTTAATAAGAAACAAGAAACCGAAATAAAAATTGCCATTTAATATCGAATGAAAATGAATTTTGGTGATGTAAATCAACAGATATGGCCAATATGTCAGATGATGACTTTTTTCATGGACAGAGAAAATATTCAGGTTCGTATCATGTACTTTATTTTATTTTTTTTCAAAAAAAACAGCAAAAAAAAAAATTAAATCGAAATCGAGAATCTGTTCACAAGTTTCAAAGAAAATATTGACTTGTATATGTGTTTGTGTTTATGACCCGAACAAACAAATTCTTAACAAAATCAACAACAACAACAACAACAACAAACTACCCGATCGGGACAAACATCAACAAAAACATCAAATGGTAAGTTTACAATTTTTTTAAGGAATTGTGAAATTTTATGACATAACTACCCCTGTCTCTTTCATTTTAGGTTTTTGCCATATAAACACTAGAAAAATATTCGAAAGTAAAAGAAAAAGAAAAAGAAAAAAAAATTCAAGAAATTCGCGAAATCAGGAGACTGCTTGGCGACTTTGATGATGATTTTGATCTTTTTTTTCATTTCATTTCGTTTCTTTCATCATCGTTTTCGAGAAAATCACCATTTTCATTGCTTTTCCTCTCTCGTTTTACGTTATACATTTCTTGTTTTTTTTGGTAGTGTGTGTGTGTGTGTGTTTGATTTCGATTTTGCTGACCACCAGCTGTGATCGATATTTGTCCATCGTCAGTCTATAGGCTGAACGTTGAACGTTGAACGCTGCTGCTGCTGCTGAACAGAACTGATGAGATCGACCCGAGAATAAACTGCAAAAAAAAACTCGAATTTTCAAATTCAATCACCTGAAATCTGGATAGCAGAAAAAACGAAACGAAACGAAAAAAAAACAGAAATAAATATGTTTACCTCAAACACACACACATTCTCATTCTCAATGGTGAATCATAACACAATATTATCATCATTTGATTTTCTGATCTATCAATCTCATCCTATCTATCTACATCTGTATCTGTATCTGTATGTTTGTTTCATTATCACCATTTTTTCAAATCTTTAGATTCACATTCAGATTATGATGATGATGATGACCAGAAAGCAGAAGAAAAAAGTGCCAAACAAGTAGTTAATTGTCGGCTTACGAACACACACACACACACACACACACACACACACACACATGAGAGAGTGCAAGAAAGAGATTTAAATTTGAAATGTAAAAATGCTATGGCCTCATCACACATTTTATTTATATTTATTTATTTATTTCTATAAGCAAAACATGAAGAAGATGAAAAAAAAAATTCTTCGAAAAACATTCATTCCATTCCATTGAATTGAATGTTTTTCCAAATGAAAAAAAATTTTTTTTTGTTATTCAATTTCGTAATTTATGACTTTTAATAATAATAATAATAATAAAGTTGAAAAATGGTTTTCATTTTCAAATTGAAATTCTTTATTTGCAAAAAAAAATTCCATTTCAAGAAACAAAAGATGAACGGTTAATGGAACAGCAACAAAGAAAAAAAAATGAAATTAGAATGACAGAATGAATCTTTATGTTGTCACACACATGAAGACAATCATCGATCGATCGATTGATCGCCAAATGATTATTGATTGGCTTTTCGTTCGTTCGTTCGTTTGTTGTTGTTGTTGTTGTTCATTTTGGGTGTTCGTGTTTCGTGTAAATGCAAATTTTTTTTCATTCGATGATGATTATGACGATGACGTTCTTTTTACTTTTTTTCTGGAATTTATTTTTTTTCCATTATTCGTTTATCGTCGACTGACAACTTCAACTTTTTAACGTTTTTTTTTGTTTCGTTATTGAGTGAAGAAATGATGATTAAAATTTTTCTCTTTCTCTCTCTCTCTCTCTCTCGTCATTCATTTCATACATTCACCAGGTTTAGTTTAGTAAGTTTGTTGTGTGTGTATGAACACAGTTGTGTGAACACAGGTGTTCTCAAATATCGAAATAGAAAATATCTTCTCCCCCAACAAAAAAAAAATCCAAAATGAAAATGAAAAATGTTGTAAATTTTTTTTTCTCTCTCTCTCTCTCTTTCATTGCCACTTAATTTACCATTTCCAATTCCAATTTTATTTTTCGAATGTTGTAGAATCAATGAATGAATGAATGAATTACAATAAACCATGAAGTTTATTGGTATATACTACAAAAAAAATAATGATCATTGGTTTCACACACACACACAACCAAAATGATTACGAAATTGAATTTTTTCACATTTCAGAATTTGATTTTGGTTCCAAATACCACCATACACACACACACACACACACACACACACACACACACACACACACACACACACACACACACACACACAAACAAACACAAATGACGATTGACGATTGTTTTTTTCCAGAGAATTTTTTTTTTGCTACAACCGAATTGGCCAAAAAAAAAGTAACCAATAATGAATGAGAATGAGAATAGAATACTAAAGACGATAAATGGGTGTTTCTCTGTTTCTTTCTGGGCTAAAGTTTTTTTTCATATATAAAATTTGAGAAAAAAAAAGAAATTTTATTTCATTTGAAACAAAAAAAAAACAATGAAAACAAATTACGAATATACAAAGAAAAAACAAAAAAAAAAAAATTTGATGAGAACCAAAATAAAAAAAAACTATAAAAAAATAAAAACAACAAAATTTGCTGGTTTTTATTACACACACACACATTTGGTTATATAGAGCAAAATGAATGTTTTTGTAATGATCCAGCCTCCATTGAAATATTCACACAATATCATTGTATTTCATTTGATTTGATTTGATTTAAATTTCAATCCAAGAACGAAAAAAAAGAAAAAAGAAATTTTAACATTCACGAATGAACCATCATAATGTGTGATGATGATGATGAGAAAAAAAAAACATTGACAGGTTCCAATGATGATGATGGACCAAAAAATATAATTTTTTGACATTTGATGATTCTAACGAATTAGGCCATTTTCATAGTGTGGGGTATGCCTGTGATAAAATGAAAACGCCCCATGGTATGCGGACTATTTATTTGATGATGACCAGTGTGTGTGTGTGTGTGGTGGTGATGGTAAGGTAGAAGGTATTTTTCTGTTTTAATTTACCTAGATCAAGAATGTGTATGTATGATGATGATGATGATGATGAAAGAAATTGGAAAAATTGATCGAACAAAACAATTTCAATCATTTAAATGAAAAATTTTTCTTCAATTCATCATGTGTTCTATTTTGAAATATCATTATTTTTTGTTTCATTATTTCTATTTTAATCGATCGATTGTTCAAAAATCGACCGACCTTGTCGAAATTGTGGTCGTTATCAAAATATATTCTATAATGTTATGTTATTGATTGATTGATAGATTGATGTTTATTATTTATTCATTGTTGCAATGTTTCTCGATATCTGGCCAATTCGTCTTGTGCTTGTGCTTTTGTATAGAATCGAATCACCTGATCAGTATCTTCATAGTTGATTGTCTGTAGAAAATTTGCAGCCAATTTAAATACCGTTCTATCACGAGCAACATTTGCAAATTGTATTATTTTATCCGATTGGCCGGTACGAATCAATGCTTTTATAGAATCCACTCTTTTACCGATTTTATTATAAAGTTTTGCTGCCAATTGATAATTACCTTTCTCTAAACATAATTCAGCTATTGTATTCATCAAAGATTGATTATTTGAATGTTTCGAAACAAATTGTTCCAATTTTTCCATTATCTGATCATTTAAATCGATACCAAATTGATGAATCAACTGTGTGATTGAATCAAATTGTTCTTGATTCGATGATAAAAGTATTAGATCAATTACAATATCAACAATACTATTATCTTCGCGTAGATATTCAATAATTAAATCGATTTCATCCTGTCCACTGATGAAACGTCGTTCATCTTTTTCCAATTCTTCTTGCAGACATCGGCGAAGAAATGGCCATAAACGATATTTGATTGCAAACAATATTGCCTGTTTAATTAGGTCAGCTTTATAATAAAGCATTGCCATATTTTCTTCACTGACCATTTTATCTTGAAAATCATTTTGTAGTGGAAAATATCGTTTAATTATATTTCTACATTCATTCATCGTAAGATATTTGATGGCAATCATAACCAATTTATCATAATGTTCATATGCAATACAAACACGTATTGCATGTCGTATGGCTGAACAGTGTAGATAATAATCAATCGATTGTAAACTATCAATGGATTCAAGATGTTTACCAAGAAATAATATGGCACCTGTCATTTCAGGCGTTTCACTGCCACTACCATCATGATCATCATCAATATTATCATTCAATTTTATTTCATCCGATCGTTGTTGTAGATAATCATCAACCAATTCAATGGCTTTATCTTTTTGTCCTAAATGACATAATAATCGTACAAGATTATAATGATCATTTGCTAGACGATACATTTCCAATGCTTTTGAATGATCACATTGACTTTCACAATATTGACCCCACCATGAAACTAATTTCGTGTCATATTTTCCATTCTTCTTTTTTAGACAATAATTTTTCAAATCCACTATATTTTCATTTTCAAACAACATTCTTACAATTTCGCCAACATTATCAGCACGTTCAAAATAATTGATTGAATCCATAATACGATTTTCCATTTCCATTTGTTTACCATATTGATAATGAAGATTTTTCAATTCAATTTTATCTGCACATTCAAAAGCTTTTGGCCATTTTTCTTGCAAACAATACAATTTACATCGTTGTGATGGTTCAATTTCCAATAATAATTGTTCAGATTCTTCAATTAGATCCAAATGTATCATCATTAGGAATAGAACAATTTGATGATGACCATTTTGTGTTGCCATCTCTTGTCTTAATGTTCGTACTAAGCCAACATTACCCATTTTTGCTAAACAAATGAATGTCCAATCAATATTTTTTTCCATTACACATTTTCTTGCCATCAATCGCCATAATTCATAATTATCTTCATCATCATCATCATCATTCTTTGAATCACAATATAAATATTTTCGAAAATGATTTTCATCATCTGAATTAATCAACATATTTTCAACATATTCACGTTTATTCAAATAATATTGTTGATGTTTATTTTTAATAATGCAAATACCATTATTATTGTTCATTTTGAAAATGTATAAATCAGGTATTTTATATGCAACAAGTTGATTTACCGATTCCTCTGATTGTTCAATGCTATTGTTTTTGTTATTGTTTTCATTGTTGATAGCTGCTATCGAATCATATCGATAGCATCGTCCATTATTTTCTGGTGAATAAAAACAAAAATGAAATGTTTGTCTTGTCGATACACAGAATGAATGGTGATGTATTGAATCGAATTCAATTGCTATTATCGGTGATGATGATGATGATGATGATGACGATTGTATGGGAATTTTATATTCAATTATACGATGATGGTTATCATTCAAATCGATTATATTAATCACGTTGCTGTTGCCGCCGTTACCACCACCAATGGTGAATGCAATCAATGTATTATTCCAATTCGTCTGTAATGATTGTGGATTTATTTTGCCACCTTCACCATCATAAATTGGCCAATGATTTTTTCTTTGAAGATCTCTTGAATCAAGTATTTGATAATGTATAATTGAATTTTCATTTTCATTTTTAACATTATTATTATCTTTTTTCGATTCAAATATACATAGAAGCATATCTTTGTTTACATGATAACCACATAAATGATAATGATGATGATGATCACTTGGAACCGTCAATGACATTTGTGAAAAATCATTAATTTGTTGTATCTGAAATTCTAATTGTCGATTATTATTGTTATTGTCCATTGATTGCTGCATTCGTCCTGACCATAATGCACCTAAATGTATAAATAATAATTCAAATGATTGAATCAATTTCATTTGATTATGATGTTCAATACGACGATTTAATGTTGTATCGTAGAGAATAATTTTATCATTATCATCCAATATGATGGCCATCAAACAATCTTTTTCATTCAATGTAAACATTTTGATTGATGAATCACATGTAACAACAATCTGTTCATTGTTGTTGTTATCCATTTCATGTTTCTTTAGATCATCAATTGTCACTTGATTTCGTTCCGACTATATATATATATATTGTGTTTTGAGTTTTTGAAAATGAACATTCGAAAGAAATTTGAAAAAAACGAGATATTGATATTGGAAACGAAAGAAAAAAAATAAAAAATTTAAATGAAAAATGATCAAACAAAAACAAACATGTCAGTCTTTGATAATCATCAATCTATCAATATGAAATGAATTATGAACAAACCTTAAAGGCTACTAGATTTCCTGAACGTTGAAATGTTCGTTGTTGTTGTTGATGATGATGATTTTTAGCCATTTTTATTATTTTTTTTTGTTTTGTTTTTGGTCTTTGTTTTCGCCTCGATGAAATCAAAAAAAAAAAAAATGATCATTCATTCATTCATTCATGAATCGCTGCATGAATCAGATGAAAATGAATACATGATACGATATACATTTCTTTCCATTGTTATTTGTTTATTTTTTTTATCAAAAAAAAAAATTCGTGAAAAAAATCCGTTGTCATGGAAACAATGAGTGAGTGAAAAGAGAAAAATTCAGTTTTTTAAATAATTGCAAATTTGAATTTGTTAATTACAGATTTGAGCATGATCGATCATTAATTCAATTAGTTTGAGATAATGATCATATGATGAAATACAATACTGATAAATAATAATAAAAAGTGTAAATGATAAATAGATGAATTGATGATGATGATGATTGCATGATTTTTACTTTGACAATCCACAATCGACATGGCAGTCATAAATTCATGTCCCAAATATTGGCGATAATCACGACGATTATCCATTATCGATTTGAGTTTAACAGTTGAATCTTGAAATATAAGATTCTTATATTTTGGTTCCGATACAAACATTTTGAATGTAAATTCATTTGAATATTTGGATCCATAAAATTGTTGTGCATAAACAAATAATGTAATATAGGCTTCTTTCTGATAGAATGGTTTAAATCTATTCGTTACGATTGCATTGTTGGCCACTTGTCCTAGATTGCAGCCACTATAATCTTGTACTTCGGCTCTTGATCCATCACGACATAATAGCTCAAAATCATCCAAATATTTATTACGTGCCCAATATTCAGGATTGATACCATTTGTATTTTCAAAAATGACTGTATGTTTTGCAAATGCAACATCACCACCACCTTCAATCAGACATTGAAATGCACCATTATCACCAAAAAATGGTTCCGATGAATCACGACGACAATAACGATATGAACTACCATGACAAAGATTGCAAAGATTATTATATTGCCATACTGATGATTTACTGGATTGATGATATTCTGGTGCTAATACACCGGGTATACAGGATTTGGAGAAAAATTGGGATGCTGCTTTCACAGCATTACAACGATATGAACGCATACGTGAATTTGATAATAAAAATGCCATCGGTATAACCCAACCGGCAGCTGTACGATATCCTGAATGACAAGATTTTCGACCCTTTAAATACAATAGATCAGTATCAAGATCAGCTTTTTTGGCTATAGCCACTGCATAATAACTGTCATTTAGATTATTTTGTTCAGCCATTATTGGTTCAATATTGTATTGTTGTCCGGCCATATAAATATCTGCAGCATCCAAAACGGTTAGATCGGCTTGTCCTTGTTGAATTTTTTGCATACAATCAACTGTATTCGATCCTTGAACACACAATAATTGTGGTTGTAACATATTCGTACGAAAAGCAGATTTCATTTTATTACATTTTTCCCATTCTTTATTGGAAACGACACATAATTTTGCATTCGGTACATTACATTTTCTGAGCTTTTCAAATAAATTTTCAATATCAACAAATGGATTGAATAAGCTAAAATATCCACGAAATGTTTGCCGATAACGATCAACAGGTGCTAATGAAATGGTTTCTTCAGAGAAAATAAAATCCATTCCACCATATTTGAATGAATCAAATAAATTGAATGATGATGTTGTTGTTCTTGATAATGACATTGGATCCATTTTATTTAATGAAAAAATTCTTGATGAATCCAATAGAAATTGTTGAATTTTATCCCTAATTTCGGGTAATATAACCGATGATACAAGAATAGCATGTGGTGGTACATAGCCCCAATTACAATTAAGATAATTTTCCACTGAAGTACGATCACCATTTGGACAAAGTAGCTGATAATCTTGTCGACGAATACGATGAATTCGTGATAATTGATCAACCACTGTATGTTTTACGAATGCAACATCACCTTTGTTGCGGAGACAATTCAAGGCACCTTCAAAATTGGCATAGAAATCATTTCCAGAACATTTTTTCGATTCACAAAGTAAACAAATTTTCTGTGGATTCGTACCGATTGGATTATTTTTATCAATTAAAGCATTTGGTGCACAACTTTCATTGAAAAAATTGGCAGCATTTTGTATGATATTATTACAATCAATTGTATCGATGAGATCCATTTCTAATAATTTTATAATGGGCAATATCCAACCGGCCAATTGTCCAACACCACTGAAACAGGCATTTTTATTTCGTAAATCTTTTGGCTGTTGAATGTATGTATAGGAATTAGCTTTGACAACAGCAACGGCATAATATCCGGTTTGATTTGTTGGACCATATTGTTCATAAACAATCGGTACTAAACTATGATATCGTCCAGCAATATAAATTTCACCAGGTTCAGCACTAACCAAATGTGCTCGCTGTGTTTCAATCAATTGCATACAATGATCTTTATTATCAGCTTCAATACATTCTAGACGGAATTGAAATCGATAATTATCATCGACAGCACGTGACCAATCACGACATTTATTCAATTCATTATTATTGATTGTACAATATTTTAATGTTTGTTTCTGTGTAGATGCTGTGATTATAAGTAATAAATTTAAAAATCAATCAGAAAAAAAGCAATACCAATTAATTACTTACCTGTTTGAATGATTAAATGTAATAGGAAATAGATGATTTGATTCAAATATTTTGGCGACATAGTCGACATTTTTTTTAAATATTAAAAAACCATAATCTGAAGTGGAAAAAATGGAAAAAACTAATTTTTGTTTTTTTTGTTTATGACTCACAAATAAATCTGAAAAATCTGTTGTTATAGCAGTGTACCTGCAGGCCAATGAAACTTGATTCTTTTTGGTTTTTCATTTTTATGTTCAGGTAAAACCCTGTTCACTATCACATCGTATAAACTGGGCATTGTTGATATTTTGGATTGCCAATTTTGTATGTTGAATGTGGTGTTCACACATGAACATTTTTTTTTCATTACGTGGCTAAATGTCATTTTTTCATGTTTTGTTTTTGAAAAATTCATCAAGATACTGATTACAATATGAATCGAATTTATATCATTTTCGGTTTATCATTATTATATCAAACAACATTGGCATTATATTTTCATATTGGTGAAACGGAAAGAAAATGTTTCATTGAAGAAGTTCCCGATGAAACTTTGGTTGTCGGTAAGTTTTAACTTTCGGTTAAGTTTTCGGTTTTTTTGGTTTCTTCTCAAGAATGAATTTTTTATTGTTGAATAGGAAATTATAAATGTCAATTATTCGATCCGAATACTGGTGGTTTTATGCCTTCTAGTCCCGGTATTGGAATGCATGTAGAGGTTCGTGGACCTGAAGATAATATCATTTTGTCGAAAGCATATTCATCCGAAGGCCGTTTTTCATTCACATCACATTCACCTGGTGAACATGTTATTTGTTTGTATTCAAATTCAACACGTTGGTTTGCTGGTGGCCAGCTTCGTGTACATTTAGATATACAAGTTGGTGAACATGCAATCGATTATCAGAATATTGCTCATCAAGAAAAATTAAGTGAATTACAATTAAGGATACGACAATTATTGGATCAAGTTGAACAGATTACTAAAGAACAAAATTATCAGAGAGTAATATAACCTAACTAAATCATTTTTTCAAAAATAATTGGTACTAAAAACTAATTCTTTTGTTTTTGTTTGCCCAATTCTTTATTTCAGTATCGTGAAGAACGATTTCGTGCTACTAGCGAAAGTACATATGCAAGAGTATTATGGTGGTCATTATTCCAGACTGTAATCCTGTTGGGCATGGGAATCTGGCAGATGAGACATTTGAAAAGCTTTTTCGAGGCTAAAAAACTGGTATAGAGATTGATTTTTTTTATACAATTATCATGGATTTTGAGTATTGATGGATAGTAAAAAAATGATGAATTTTTTTTGTCAAAGTGAAAGAAAAAAGAATTTTTTTTTAATCAAATGTCAATATGACAATGAAAATGGTATATAAGGTTCATGTAAAGTAAATGTTAAATATATCTGATTAATCATTTTGGTTTAGTTTCTTGATCGGAAACTTTTCTTATGAAAATAGAATCCGGTGGTATATCTTTAATATCATTGGTTTCAGCTAGATTTGATGATGCAATGGCTAAATATGTATCATTCGGTGAAAATGATAATGATGAAATACTTGTTGGATATTTATGAAATTGACAAAGACGTTTTTTGTTGAAACCATCCCAAATATTAACGAAACCATCTGATCCACCAGTAGCGAATGTATTGTAACCAGAATGAAAACTTATTGAATTAACAGGAAAAATATATTCCAATCCAGTGGCCGTATCTTTATTTCGATGACATTTGAATGCATATTTTTTCTTCTGTATATCTGGACTAGGATCCAGATATTCAACGGCAACACGACCTTCCACCGAACTAAGAACAAAACCTTCTTTGTTACTAAAACATCGAATAAATCTTGTTTGAAATTTTAGACTCGATTCTCGTCGTTGTTGTGGATAAGACATATTTTTTAGATCCCATACGAGTACACGACGTTCTGCAGTACCAACGACAATAGTATTTCCACAAACATCAAAAGTATATATACGGTCCGGTTGGATATATGTTCCGATTGCATTCGGTGATCGTCCATCCCATAATTTAAGTTGTGAATCCCAACCACCAGTGATCATTAGATTATTATCAATAGAATGTTCTAAACATCTAATCGGTGAATTATGAAAGCCAACAATTGTTTCGGCATTTGTTTGCAAATCAAACATTCGCACTTTTCGATCAAATCCGACGCTCCAAGCATGATTCGAATCCTATATATTTACATGTTGAAAAGAATCAGAAAATGCAAGTCAATTGAATCAAAAACGAACCTGAAAAGCACAATCTAAAACCGGTGCTGGATGATCAAATTTTAGGCAAAGTTTTTTATTGAAAATATCATATAAACGTAATGTTAAATCCCATGAAGCGGCTAGTAAAAATTGATCTGAATGTTTACCAAATTTTACACTCTGTATACAATCATTTGGAACATTGTCCAATTTAAATTCATTGATCGAATCGGATAGTGTCATGTTTTATGATTGATTGATTAATTCGTCGAAATAATGATTATCAATCAAAGATATTCAATTATTCATCGAAAAAACATTTTCATATGAAATAGAAAAGTCAAAACACACACACAAATGCATTCAAGAATTTAACCGACGTCACATTCATAGATGAAATGACACTCGTTCAGAATCACATGACTGACGACTATATTTACTCAAAATGTTTAGCCTGAACGGGAATTTCAGGCATGCACAATAGTGTTGTGCTACTGCTTTCGTGTTCTTTATAATTGCTTCACATTCTTCAAAACAGTTACTTCTGATAAAGAAATTATGATGAAAATATCCGAAATAATTGCCCAAAATGTCAAAATCAATTGACTATTTTTATAACAAAATTTGATTCAGAGATAATTGGAAACTTATTATCGAAATATTCGTATATACGAATTTTAATGTATTAATAATAATACCTAGAATGTGATTTAGAGTTATTTTTATCGAATTAATCAATTTTTATCTTGCTAAAAGTACAATTTCTTTTGGAAATTGAAATCCGAATTTTTCTGAATCATATTTTTGATAAAATTTTTTTTTTATCCAATATTCATTCGAATGTGAAAACAAAACATTAATTCCACTATTGGGAAATTGCATAATCATCATCATCATCATCATCATCATTATTTCATATAGAATATTCTTATCTTATGAATTTTTTAAAAGATCATTCCTATTTCATCGACGATGTGTGTGTGTGTGTGTGTAGCGATATGATCGAAAATGGAAGATCAATTTTCATGAAAACAAAAACGATTACAAAGAGATAGCAGAAAGGAACAGCAAAATTTTTTTTTTGCTTTCATCAATTTGATTGATTCGATATTTTTTTTTTTCATTTTATTGTTGTTGGTATAAGAAATTTTATCCACAATTTTTTTTTCTTTCTCTTGTAAAGAAATCAATTATGTAATAACAACAACAACAACAAAATTGACAGGGAGAGAAAAAAAAGAACAAAAAATGTTCGACCATCGACCGCCTACATTCGACATCATTGATATGGTAATGATATTAATTTCTTATATTATGTACTATATTGGTAATTTATATATATTCGACGAAATTCATTAATATCAACAAAAAAAACTTTACCATACCTGTATGTGTTTGTCTTGTTGTTGATTTTCAATTTATATTGATCGATATCATGAATGATAAATAACACATGGATGTATTTTATTATCATTCATATGATTCTATTCTATTCTTACTTCTTTTGATTGGTTTTTTTTGCAAACAGCCACCCACCTACACACACACACACACAAGCAATTGCGTAATAATAATCATCAATTATCGAATGAATTCGTATATATATGATAGAAATATATTGAAAATAATAAAAGTTACAGGAAATTCATATTTCAAAACTATAATTAGATTAATTGAAAATTTTTCGTTGCTAAATCATTGTCATATGATCACACACACACACACACACACACACACACACACATATCATATCATATCAGATTGTTGATTGATTGATTAATCCGATCGGATGAAAAATAAACAGAAATTTTTTTTTTTTTTTGCGACAACCATGACTAATATATTTGACATTTGAAATTTTATTATTTGAACAAAAAAAAAAATTTTTTTTTTTTTTTCTATATATAATAATCGTGTGTGTGTGTGTGTGTTTTTTCCCGATTTTTGATTGAAATTTGTCCTTTTTTTCCTGTTTTTTTATTTGCTTCAGGGTTTTTTCCGCTTTTTTTTCTCTCTCTCTCTCTTTTGCTTATTCCCTCATTACCGTCATCGCTTGTTACATACACACACACACTCATGTATTTGTCAACGAATAACGAATATTTCAGAATAGAGAAAAAAAAACATATGTCATTATTATCAAACAACAACAACAACAACAAAATGACCGAAAAGAATGAATGAGTGAATGAGATTCTTATGTCTAAGATGTTTTTTGTTGTTGTTGTTGTTGTTGCTTCATTCAACTAACAAACAAATTGAAAATAGACAGAAAGAAAAAAAAAATATATCGATCTCCTTATCATTTTTCTTCTTGTTATTTATCGTCTCTTTCACTTTCCAAAAAAAAAGTAAAAGTAAAACGTGAAAGTGAAATAATAGTATATAAAATGGAACGTATAATAAAAAATACATACACACACACACACACATGACATTCGACCGATTCCAATATTGAATCCAGATGCATATTACAATGTATAACAAAAAAACAAACAGAATAGAACATGTGAAATGAAAACTATAGAGAAAGAGTGAAAGAAAATAACATCAATCTAAAAAAAAAAAAAAATTCTTTAATTTATAGTGCACACTAAATAGTTTTTTTTAGGTTTGTTGTCGTTGTCGTTGCAAAATTCGGTCGATTTTGGTCTGTTTATGTTGTCGAAATTGAACTTTTTTTTTAATCTCATTTTGTCTTCTTCTTCCAGGTTGTTGTTATTGTCAATGGTTTTGGTGGTGGTGGTGGTGGTGGTGTTAGGAGTGACAACAGACTACTACCACTACTGTTAAATACTATACAATTTTTTTTCTTTTTCCTATTACACTATTTAACGTCCGGTTAATAATCGGTCCTATCTTGTATGGTGTTGGTGGTGGTGGGCGCCACACAATTCTGTGTGTTGATTTAGGTTTTCCACTGATAAATATAACCGATCCATGCACACACATTCGAACCCAAATTTTTTTTTTTTTTTGTTGTTGAAACAAAACTGAACTGAATTCTGATGATGGTTGCTCCTCCTTGCTTCTTCTCCTCGTATTAGGATAGAAAATTTTTTTTCAAACCCCCAAAAAAAGGAAAAGCAAAGAATAATGCAGAAAGAAAAAATCGAATACTGCTCCATATCATCCAAGGATCTGGAACCAAGAAGAAGAATCTGGATATATTTTATTTTATATTTTTTTTTTTTTGTAGTAGAATTCTCTATGTATGCTGTATGTTTGTTCTGATTCTGCTGTCTGTATATTTTATTCTGTGCTTGACACACACACACACACACACAACACAGAGATAGATAGAGATGAGAAGAATTCTGGACATGAAAAAGTGATATTAAGAAAGAGTGTTTGTGAGAGAGAGAGAGATAGAGAGAGATATAGTTTTCTATGTATGTTTTTTTTCTGTTTTTGTTTTTCTCTGAGCTTAATATATTAATAATAGTAATATCAAATGAAATGATACAGAAAAAAAAATCTATGAAGATAGATAGATAAATAGATCTTTCTATTTATCATTTTGTTACTTTTGTTTGTCTGTGTGTCTGTGTATCTATCAATCATTTTTTCATCATTTGAATCTTTTTTTTTTTTTTTGGTTGTGTTTCACATCTCTTTCATCACTGTGTTTTTTTTTTTTCTTGTATGTGGTTGTGACCAACGACGACGACGACGAGGAGAAACAAAACAAAACAAAACAAAAAAAAGGATTGTCATTTTGTGTGTGTTCTGTGTTGTGTTTCATATATTTTGTTTTGTTGTTGTTGTTGTTGTTCTCATCTCCAAGCCTAATATTCTTTACATCTCATCATCATCTGTCATTCATCATTGCCAAATATATTCATTCAAATTCGAACAATCATCATCATCATCATCATCATTTGTAAACCTGGGTTGTGCTTGCTGTGTGTCCAAAATAAAATTCTTCGATACAAAAAAAAAATTTGAGTGAAATTCTCATTCTTGCCATTGCTTGTTGATAATTTGATATTTTTCTTTTCAATTGCCATTTTTATATATATTTGAATGTTTATTTTTTTCTCTTTCGAAAAATTTTCTTTATATGACATTTTGAAGAAAAAAATAATAAAAAAAACGATCAAACGATCAAATTATTGGTGGTCTTCTTCAAATCGAATCAAATTTCAAAATTGTAAAACAAAAAAAAAAAAAAATTCGTTTGTTTCTTTCCTCCATAAATTTCTTTTTTTTTCGTTGCAATCAAATAACTCGTTATTCATCTGTTTTTTATGGTCATCATCGTTTTTTTTTTCGTTGGACATCTAAAACAGCCAATTAATTGACGTTTTTTTAAAAAAAAAAAATATTGTCATCATCACGACGACGTCAACAAAAAAGTTGAAATTCAAAAAAAAAACAAATCAACTTTTGGTTTTCAGTTTCGCCAAATTCAAAGTTTATCACCTCAAGCAATTTTCATTTTTGTTGTCCGAAAAAAAAACTACTACTACAACAACAACAAATATCGTTCGTTTGTGAATTTTATTTACAGAGATTAAATGTATAAAGATTTCTATAATAATAACAATGTATGAAATGAAGAACATCATCATAATCATCATATCATCATTGGCTATGCTGCTGCCTTTTTGGATTTTAGTTACAACAACAATAATAGTCGATGCTCATCCAATTAATCATCATTATAATAATAATAATAATAATAATAATGGTCCATATGTATCAACTGGATATAATAATAATAATAATAATAATGATGATTCATTATTAATACAAACATCACGTGGTATGGTACGTGGACAACGTGTACGTTCATTAAATGGACGTTTAGTTGATGAATTTTTGGGAATACCATTTGCTAAACCACCTATTGGTGAATTACGTTTTAAACATCCACTTCCAATAGATTTTTGGGATGGTATATTCAATGCTACACAAAAACCTAAATCCTGTTATCAGGTAGCTGATCATACATTTGGTATGAATTTTTTAGGTACCAATATGTGGAATGTTGATCAGACTAACCTTGATGAAGATTGCCTTACATTGAATATATGGGTACCATATCCAAGGCCTAAAAATTCTGCTGTATTAGTATGGATATATGGTGGATGTTTTTATTCCGGTTCAATATCATTAGATTTATATGATGGAAAATTATTCGCTACAGAAGAGAATATTATATTTGTCAGCATTAATTATCGTCTTGGTAATCTAGGTTTTCTTTATTTTGAAAATACCAATGATATTGTTGGCAATGCTGCTATGTTTGATCAGGTAATGGCATTACAATGGATACATACAAATATTGAAAAATTCGGTGGTAATCGTCATAATATAACATTATTTGGTGAATCAGCCGGTGCAACTAGTATTGCCTTTCATCTATTATCACCATTAAGTCAACATTTATTCAATCAAGCCATATTACAAAGTGGTGCACCAACCGTACCATGGGGTTTGGTTGATAAGAAAAAAATTCATCAACGTGGCTTAATGTTAGCAGAATCGGTTGGTTGTCCATATGATGATCAACAAATTGATCGAGTACTTGATTGTTTACGACAAACAGATCCGGCATTATTAATGCAGAATGAATCGACTGATGCCAATGGTGTTGTTGAATTTGCATTCACACCTATTCTTGATGGTGTTTTCTTGACTGATTATCCGGAAAAATTGATGCAAGATAAACGTTTTAAAAAGACACGTTTATTATTAGGAAATAATAAAGAAGAGGGTACATATTTTATTATCTACAAATTGAATGATATATTTAAATTTGAAGAAGATGTCTATCTAACACGCGCCGATTTCAATAAGTCAGTCAGATTATTAACACCAAATATGCATCCAATAGGACAATCAGCAATCATTTATGAATATACTGATTGGTTGAATCCAGATGATCCAATTAAAAATCGTGATGCTATCGATAAGATTGTTGGTGATTATCATTTTGTTTGTCATGTGAATAAATTCGCCGATCGTTATGCATCGGTTGGTAATGAAGTTTATATGTATTATTTCACACATCGTTCAACAAAAAATCCATGGCCAAAATGGATGGGTACTATACATGGTGATGAGATTCCATTCATATTTGGTGAACCATTAAATAAATCAATTGGTTATACACATGATGAAATTGTTTTAAGTAAACAAATGATGAGATGTTGGTCTAATTTTGCTAAAACTGGGTATGTTCAATCCATATCAATCAATCGTATTTATTGTGTGATTGTTTTTTTTTTTGATTGAAATTGTTTGTGTTTTTTTTCTCATTATAAAACAAAAATAGCAATCCAACAATGGATGAGAATGGTATATGGTCACAATTACATTGGCCTTTATATACAGCATATAAAAAAGAATATCTTACATTTTCAACAAATTACAGTATTGGACAAGGAATACGTACCAAGCAGTGTGCCTTTTGGCAAACCTATTTACCTCAATTAATGGACAATCTAAGTAAGCATGAACATTAGACATAATAATGATTGATATTGATATTGATATTTTTCTATTGCTGATGATTAATTGTTGATCATTTGATTAATTTTTTTTATTATTGTTTTCTCTCTTTTCTATTTTTTCTCTTTGTGGTAAATATTTAAATGTGAATGCAATAGCTTTACTTGAAGAAAAGATTCACATGTGCCATAATTCGGCCATATCATTATTCAACCAACGATTTAATATGATGATGATGATCATCATCAACATTATTATTTCAACAACAACAATCATCACCGTTGTCGTTGTTTAATCATGACGAAAAAAAACCAAGTGTTTACCAAAATAGAGAAAAAAAACAAAATTCATCACATATTCGATATTGGATTCAATCAAATCCAAAAATTTGGAATGAATGAAAAAACAACCCGATCAAACGATGACGACTAATAGAAATGTTCAAAATTGTAGCTGTTATTATGATGATTCTATCAATTTCAATCAATAGATTTAGCGCTCAGCAACGAATTCATCCATTCTCGACAAACAAACAAACAAACAAACAAACAAAAAACACTCCAGACATAATCAAAAAAAAAAAAAATTGGAATTTATTTGGATTTTTTCCAAATAATAATGAACTTTTTGCGTCGCATTTTGTTTTTATTTTGCTGGTTCCATTTCTTATTATGTTTTTTTTTCGGTGCTATTAAAATCCATCACCATCATCCAACAATCTGTGTTTATACTTTCTGTGTCAATTTAGGTTTTTTTTCTGTATTTGTTGCCGTTTTTTCGTCGTCGTTTCGTTTAATAATTAGCTTACATGAAATATCAAGGCTTAATTAATCGTCGCCACCACCATCATCATCATCATCATCATCAAACATCGAAGAAAAAAAAAAAAAATACCAGCGACAAACATAGAACAGAATTAATTGATCGAATCAGTCAATACTTGCACACACACACACACACATCATCATCATCATCACTAAACTATTCTAGAAATTCTTTGTAAAAACATCTCTCTAGATTCTAGAATATCAAGGACAATCTATAAAAATATAGCAACAACAACAACAAGATTATCTCTTCTTTCAAATTTAAATATATTTACTATACGTATAAATTATATACATGTAAACAACACAAAACACACACACACACCCAACACCTCCTCCTCTCCTTCTTTATTTCAATCACGCTCATTCACCATTTTTTTCTTTCCACATTCGCAATACCATCGGTTCCGTTTCCAGTTCCTTTTTCTCCCTCCTTACTCCTTTTCACTTTTTATTGTCTTATTTCTATATATATACTGATTACTATCATCATCAATAATTGATAACTAACTAAATAACTATGGTTGTGAATTAAGGTTGCATTATTAATGAAACAAAACAAAACAAAACAGAACAAAACAAAAAAAAAAAAAATTTCTCTTCTACTTCTTCTTCTTTTTTCCTTGAAATCTCACTTGAAACTAACTTGAAAACCTGGAAAAAAAACTTGATTGAATCACATTCACATTTTTTTTTTTGTTGATTATAATTAACTAACTCACTCACTTCAAATTGCTTGCTTGCTCTCTTCTCTCTCTTTCATTCAAAAAAAAGCAAATTCTTTGTCGTCTATTTATATATTCTTATTATATTATATTATTACTATTGGGAATTTATTGATCAAAACAAACAAAAAGAAAAATTTCCATTCACTTATTTATTCTCTCTCTTTTTCTTATTATTATTATATAATTCAATATATATTATAATAAAGCAGAAAATGTTAATGTTAATTTTAACTTAATACGAGACTGACTGATTGACTGACTGGATATCACTGAATATTCTGTAATAATGAAATTACATTCACACACACACACACACACACACACACAAACACGGCGAGAGAAAAAAAAATTCACAATGTAAAATGCCTTTGTAATTGGGTTATTATTCTTATCATCATCATCATCATCATCATTATTATTATTGTATTGATGAACATGATCAACAACAACAAGAAATTGTATTACATAATGAAATGAAATGAAAACTTGATGAATAATCAATATTCGAACAACAAAGCAAGAAAAAAAACAGAATGACCAGCCTAATAATTTTTTAATAACAACAATAACAACCAACCAACCAACCAACCAATCAATCAATCTATCGATCAATCATATGGTGAAAACAGTGAATGGGAAAAAAAATGGCAAACAATTAAACGAATATCACATATTGTGATAAACACACCCGATACAATTATTGACACGCCTATCAATTTCCAGTGAATATTATCAATCAGATCATCAGATGTCCATTTAGATACAGAACAATCAAACACAGACATTAGATACATTAAATTAATTGTTATTTTTTTTATTTTATTTTTTTTTTTTTTGGTTGAAAACAACACGAAATGAATCTATGAACACTGTGTTTGTTGAGTGTGTGTGTGTGTGTGTGTTTGAAAACACATTCACGATACATTGATCTAAAATAATCGATACCATCATCTCATCATGAGTAACCATTTTTTTTTTTGTTCATTTTCATTTTCATTTTTTTTTTTCTCGTTTTGTTTCCCTGGTTTTATATTTTTTTCCCCCATCCCACCATAATTGGTAATTGTAATCTACTCTAATCTAATTAGAATGTTGTTGTTTTTTTTTTGTTGTTGTTGTTGATATTTGTGTAATATGAAGAGAAATTTTTTTTTCTGTTTTTAAACAAAAAAAAATACTAGTAGGTATTTTTTTTATTTTCACAGTTCAATGGTTGAAAAAAAATGTATACCTGAATTAACAATCATCATACACAGATGAATGAATTTGAATTTACATTTGGAATTTTTTTTCTTTCATTTTCTGGTTCAATTCGTTTAATTATGGTTCAGTTTAGTTTTTTGTTTCACAGTCGTAATAATTCTCATTCATTCATAGTGAGTTTTTTTTCGTTTTGTTTTAATACCAATTCTAATTCTAATAATTTATGATGTTTCCAACACACACACACACACAACCCACACACCTTACCTAATTCATATATTATTTATTCTGTCTCACTTACTTACTTCAATTAACAATCAGCTCTATTCTCTCTTTTATTCTTGATCTTCTTCCATTTAATATAAAAATTACATAAATTTTGTTATTTTTTCTAACGAATAAAATGTTGTATGATTTAACATTAAAAATTAAAAATTAAAAACTGTATTTAAATTCAAAAGCAATATATAAATAATGATGATTAAAAATAGGAAATTGAAATTATCCAAATGTTTTTGTTTTGTTTTATTCTGTGAAAGAATATTCTTTTATTTAAATGCGGGAATTTCACATCGAAAATTCGAAAAAAAAATAATATTATACCGATGTTTATGAATGGATCCAATGTTTTTTTTCGATTTTTTTTAGAATTTCATCAATTTTTTTTTCGTATTTTCGTCTGAATTTGTTTCGTGAGTTTTGATTTATATATATAAATACGATTACCATTTATTTGTTCTTTGTCTCCAGGTTAAAACAAAAAATGCCAAAAGTTTTTCTAACCAAAGAGAATCGTCGACTAATCCGAATCATGTTACATTATCGTCATATGTTTTTGTATCTGATGAAACATTATGCCGATGAAATTGATGATTTGTTTGAAAAAGATTCGGAAAAAGATAATTTCAAAACGACTGTAGAATATTGTGATAAATGGTTCGAAAAAATTACTTCTAATGCTGAGGATAGAATAAATCAGCTAAACAAATTGATTGTTGAATTAATTGAAGAAACTGAATCATCTTATGGTTCACATCGAAAATTGATGAAAATTGATCTAGATCGACAAATTATATCGAATTCAAAAAAGAATGGTAATGGAAAAGATAAGAAAACAAATTCTCAAAAACGTAAACGACAAGCAGCAGATTCAGAATCTTCAACAAAAAGCAACAAGAAAAAATGTCTCAATCTAGATTCGGAAACGAATAATAATTATAATGACGATGATGATGATGATAATGATAATGTTGAAGAGAAAAAACAGACGGATAAACAATCTGATCCTGACACACAACAAGATAATAACATTGGCATTGATAATGATGATGATGGTGATACAACCTTCGATATATTTGGCATAGCAATGCAATATACTTGTTCATTGGGATGTAGATTTCGTAGTACATCGATGAAAAAAATCAAAAATCATGAATTATTAGTCCATAGTGGTGAAAAAAAAGTTCATAAATGTTTATATAAAAATTGTGGCGGACAATTTAAAACGATTTATGATCTTGAAAAACATTCAATGAAAATACACGAAATTTTCAAATGTTCCTTTGGAAATTGTGTATCAGAATTTGACAGCGAGTAAGTATGATGACTGATCTTGTGTCAATCTCATATTAATTATTCTTTTTTTCCGTTTGAAAAGGTTTTATCTAAAAAAACATTATAGACTGAAACATGAAAAGGAATCGGTAATATGTAAAGAATGTGATAGAAAATTTCCAAATTGTACTCGATTACGTAAACATATCTATTTATTCCATGAATATGATGATTATCATTGTGATTATGATGGATGCGATTTTTCTACAACACTTCGTTTGGATTTATTCAACCATAAACGTACTAAACATTTGCACAAAAAATGTGAATTTGATGGCTGCAATAGTATTCTATCCATAAGCGGTTGTTCTATACATAAAAAATTACATACAAAAGCTAAAACATATCAATGTTCATGGCCTGATTGTGGTAAATGTCTTTATGATTCAAAATCATTGAAAGATCATATTCGTATTCATTTAAATTTCAAACGTTATCGTTGTAAATGGCCAGATTGTGGTTATGCTTGTGAACAGAAAACCAATATGATCACACATATACGTATAAGACATTTTAAACTACCACATACAAAAAAACGTCAATTAGAATTGAATATTTCAACGGATTCATATCCAAATCCAAATGAATATATTGAAACGGTTAATGAAGATATCTATATGAATAATCGAGGAAATCACTAATTATCATCTATCATCTACGTTAATTTATAAATTTTTTTTTCAATAATCAAAATTTAAAATTTTCATTTTTTTGTTTCTTTTTCACAATAAACACGTGTTTCACCCCCTAACGACCAAAAAATTTATTAAAAGTCTTGTCCACTTCAGTATTTCATCATTGAAAAATCTCATCAAGTTTCAATTGTGAATTTTTTTTGATTTTTTTTTTTTTGATAATGGAAAATAATAATTTAATATCTCAATATGGTGATGATTGTCGTAAATCAATATTGCCTAATAAACATAAACGTCAATTAAACCACAATAATAATAATAATGATGATGATGATGTTGTTGATCCAACTACAAACAAACGAAATCGAAAAACTATCACTATCGATGACATTCATTGATGGATGTTATGGTTTTTTCTTAAACGAAATACCCGATCGACCTGATAATCAATTGAATGGTTTTCATACAATTAGCCTAAAATCAATATTATCAAATGAAAATGGAAAGATAATCGAATCTATTCATTTTAATTTTTTATACAATCTTGAATGGTAATTATTAATTAATTAATTAATTGATTAGCATAATATATTGATTTTTTTTCGTTCACTTTTCTTTTATTCAAAAAAAAAAATAGGCTTATCGATCACTATCCAGCCAATTGTCGTAATTCTCCCATTTATATTGTTTTTGGTAATAGTCCTCAATCAAGAATTGAATCATGTTCATATTCAAATGTAAAATTATGTAGCATTAAATTGAATGGAATTTATTCTTGTCATCATTCGAAAATGATTATATTACATTATGAAGATGATTCCATTCGGATAATTATTCTTACAGCTAATATGACTCCATTGGATTGGTATACTGTTACACAAGGTATATGGATTAGTCCTAAATTGAAAAAGAATAACTTGAAAGAAGATACATCAAAAACAAATTTCAAAAATGATCTGATTCAATATTTAAAGGCTTATGAACATAAATCTATTGTAATGTGGATCAATATTATCCAAGAATACGATTTTTCACCCATCAATGTATTTTTAATTGGCTCAATTTGTAATTCACATGGAAATGATGATCGTGAATCATTTGGCCATTTGAAAATTCGAAAAATATTGCGAACAAGCCATTATGGACCTACCAACGAAATAAAAAATTGGCCAATCATTTGCCAATTTAGTAGTATTGGATCATTAGGTAAAACACCACAGTCATGGCTAACTGCACAATTTTTGGCTTCGTTTTCAGCCACATATAATGATTTCAATGGCATTAAACCGGAACTAAAATGTATTTATCCAACTATTGAAGATATATTGAATAGCCTGGATAAAAATGGAACTTGTTTTCCATATGTCAAATCAACGGCTGATAAACAGCCATATTTGAATGATTTTTTCTATCGATGGAAAGCATCCATATCTGATCGTAATAATGTCATGCCACATATAAAAACGTATGCACGTATATCACCGGATAATAGAAAAATGGCCTGGTTTTGTCTTACATCGGCTAATCTATCGAAAGCTGCATGGGGACATTTAGTTAAAATTGGATCAAAACTTCGGATTTTGAATTACGAACTTGGTGTACTGTTTTTGCCAAAATTGATGGTTTGTTGAAATTGGTTTTTTTTTTCTTTCAATTAATTAAATTAAATTTTGTTTTAATCTTTTTTTTCTTGCAGATAAATCAAGATTCATTTAGTATTAGCCAAAATAATCCACTTTTCTTGCCTTATGATCTTCCATTGGTTAAATATGATCCAGAAAATGATAAACCATGGATCAATAATAATAATATTAATACTTTCACGGTATGAAATTGTTATTCGTTTATTATTATTGTAGAATATTGACACGTGTTTTCTTTTGATTCTTCAGAAATAGATCATCATAATATAATAATAATTCTCATCATTTCTTTCAACCGACAAAATGTCTAAAAATCATCCTGCTGTCTATGCTGAATCCGAATTATTTAATCAAATTGAAAATAATATTCAAAATTTATCAAAATATTTAGAAATATATCGAATGGACATATGACCAATGTTGATGTCAATGATTCGATGACATTATTACGAAATTCAATCGCTTCAGCTACCTGTATTGATAATGTTAATTTTCGCTGCCAATTTTTTCGTATTATCTGTGATGAAAAATATTTGTTCATCAAATCTATTCAATCATTTTTTGATCGACAATTTGATGATCTATATACTAAACTTGTATCCAATTCCATTGTTGAAAACGATGATGTATCATTGATGTTTATGTTAAAATCACTTCAATTTTTCTTTAATTTATCCAATCTAAATCCACAGCAATTTGAATTTAAAAATTTTTCAGAATTTCATTCATTTATTTTGAATAAAAAATATTACAAGTAAGATTTGCTTATTTTTTGATCATTTTCAATTTTTTAAAATATTTTTTTGATTCCATAGATTTTTAAATTTTTACAAACTTGAAAAATCATTGAAAAATGATCATATCCAATATTTATTGAAAAGACTAACAATCGTTTATACTGCTTTATTATTTCGTTGTCTTTCAAATGACACCGTTCGAATGAATGGAATTCTAAACGAAACAATGATTGATACAAGCTTTTGGAATCCATTATTCGATCATATTGAATCTGAATTATCCGAATGGTCATTATGGATATTTTTTCTTGTGTTGAAAGATGAAAAATTTGCCAAAAATTTATTCTGCACCATATCAACAAAACGACAAATCATTTTTCTTGATATCTGTATGGAATTTATTGATGATGAATGCCGAAAACATGAAAAAATTTCGATGAAAAATATTGAAACCATTGAACCTGATGATTGTCTTAATCTTTTCGGTTGTCAATTATGTCCGTTACCAAAAGAATTTATTGAATTTATTAATCAATTATTTCATCATCAAATCAATGAATATTTTTTAAAATCAAATTTCGACGATAATTCTCATCATGATGATTTGTTGGTTTTTACAAAAATTTCGTCATTTCTTTTAAAAATTATTTCATTTCAATCATATGCTGAAATTTTGAAAAAACAGGATTTATTTGAAAATTTACTCGATATTTTATCATGTTTTCATACAATGAGCAATGATCCTGAATCCATATTCTACACACAAGATCTTCGAACAAGTGGCCAGCAAAAATCATCATTGGTTGAAAATCAACCAATTTTCGGTTTCAAACGAAATATAATTGGATTAATTGCAAATTGTCTACACGAAAATTTTCATGCACAGACACAACTGAGAACATCAGGTCGATTTATAGCTTTATTAAATTCAACCAAAATAGATCGTAATAATCCATTTATTTTACAATGGACAATATTTGCCATACGTAATGCATTGAAAGATAATATAGCAAATCAAGAATTCGTACGAAATCTGCAAAAACAAACGGAAATTTTTGATAATGAAATTTTCGATAAAATTAAATTTATTCGTTAATGTTATTAAATAAATAAAATTCGTTGGTTTATTATTTAAATCGAATATTCATTCATACAAGTAATGTTGTTTGGATTGTTTCAAATCGAACGGAAATGTCCAATAATCAAAAAATAAATGATTCATCATTGAATCATGAAACGAAATCATCATCATCGCAACAACAAAAACAACAAGATCCATTATCGGATCAATTAACGGAACATCCTAGTACAACGAGCCTTGGATTTGGAACCGAAAGCAGTATCACTGTCGTTGTAAGCTTAGAACAAGATGGTATACCTAAACAAACACCGGTGGCAAGTTTTCCATTCGATCAGAAACTTTTCAACAATGATGATATTTTTGATTGTTACCTGATTGCATTCGAATGTAGCCAGCATAAACGTCTAGCATTACAAAAGATGTCAAATCAATGTTACTTTTTACCGATCATTAAATTTAACAATGAAAATGATTCATTCGATAAAATTTTCAAAGAATTCATTGATTCCAAGATAATTGCATTGCCTAAAGGAAAAATTTCACCACCCAAATTCATTGATCAATGGCGTGTACAACAACCAAAAACCGAACAATTTTTTGTTCGTTTCATCGTAAAATCAATCATTGAACCAAAAGAAAAGTGTTGTATTGATAGCGATACAGTTCGTTGGCTGAACCAAGATGATCTAAAAAATCTATTGAATCCAATGTCAAAAAATCTTCTTATCTGGGGCCTGGAACCGTTCAACATTCTTAACACACAACAACAGCGTAAAAGTGGCAATCTAAGAGAATGTCAATTTGAAGATATTTTACGATCTAATGATCAGAATATTAACGAATTAATTGAATCGGCGGTTGATTGGAATGAAGATGAACGAAAAGCAATCTATAATGAATATCTTGTCCATTGTTATCCATCGGAAACGATGTCATTCCCGGCATTCATTAGTTTTGCATTCAAAATATCCATACTGAATCATTTTACACCGAATGAATTACGAATGATGTATAAATCATTTGATCGGAATCATAAATTTGCCATTGATTTTCAGCAATTGATCATTGGCATCATATTGATGATGGATGATAATGATATTAGTCATCGTAGCCCATATTGGAATGAACAAAGATTCATATCATTATTTCATTATTATGATTTAGATGATGATAATCGTATCAACAATGAAGAATTGAACAATTTATTTAAAGATTATTATGAAAAACTTGACACATTTCTTGTTGATCATACAGTGATTCCAGAATGGATGAAACAAGAAAAAAGTCGTGATAATTTTGTAATCAATATGATGCAAAAATATACGGATAATTCAACAAACGTGACGGCAACACAATTGGAAAAAATTGTGAAAGAATTTTCACAATCATATTCACAAATACCACAAATGTGGCAGCTATTATATCGAATGCCATTCAATGTTCTGTCATATGCATCGGTTACGTTTTGTTATCGAAAAACATTTCAATCATCTTATTACGGTGATTTGTATTTGAATGGTGATTACAAACAACAACAACGATGGCAACAAATTAAATGTCAGAATTGTTTACGAAATCGATTTGCTCTTTCAAATCAAGTAATTTGTCTATCACTTGAAGGTGAAATCAGTGACATCATAAGGCTGGAACCATTTTCCCCAAAATCAACATTATCATTCATTGTAGATATACCGGATGATGATATATATCTGTTGACCATTGATGTTTTAGTTCGATTACAGCGTTTATCATTATTTTTATTTGGCAATGAAAGATTTAAAGCTGCTGCTGTTAATAATAATGAACATGAAGAATTGTTGAGAAATTGGTTTTTCCCATCACGAATGGAAATGTTGGAAACGATACGAATCATTGTGCAGACTACGATGGAAATATTTGCTAAAGAACGGCGTTGTATTGAAATTCAATCACCATGTTATGTATTTGGTGATTTACATGGTAATTTCAAAGATCTTATAACATATTCACAATATTTTTGGAAATGTTCACCATTTTTGAATACTGGCAAATATCTCTTTTTGGGCGATTATGTTGATCGTGGTGATCATGGTATCGAAGTGGTTATATTTTTGTTTTGTTTCAAAATATTGGCACCAAATAATTTCTATATGATTCGTGGTAATCATGAAATACGTGATGTACAACGGCGATTTACATTTTTTGCTGAATGTGAAAAACGTCTTAGTGTTGAAATCTGGGACCTGATTAATGATTGTTTTGATTGTATGCCATTGGCTGCCGTTATTGATGATTGTATTTTTGGTGTTCATGGTGGAATTCCGGCAACCATTTCGACTATTAAACAAATTTATGATATTCCAACACCGTTATCGAATCCATTACGACAAAATATTGCTGCATGGGAAATGCTGTAAGTTTTCCAGTTTATCCAGAATCCAATTTTTTTTAACTTAGTTAATCATATATTCTAGTTGGAATGATCCAATCAATGATAAAGAATTATTATTACTACCGAAAGAACAACGTAAATATCTTACCGATTCAGCAAAAGGATTTGGTCGAAATTTTAAACGTGGTACTGGATATTTATTCAGTGAAAATGCTTTGAAAAAATTTCGAGAAAAAAATGGCATCGATTTTATTATACGTGCACATGAAGTTTTTGCTGATGGATTTTATCTCTATTCGCGTGGAAAAATTATTACTATTTTTTCTTCATCCGGTTATTCATTTCCATCGAATTCGGCTTCCGTTTCGTTAATATCGAATAATAAGATTCGAATAATAAAAATTTAAAAAAAAATCTCTCGTGTATGTTGTCATCATGTATCATTGATAATTGGCAAACATTCAGCCATGGCAAGATTGAAGAAAAATTGTTCAACATTTGGTGAGGAAAATTTTTCCTTTAATCTAGATTTTCTTATCACTGAATTATCATCATCCACCAATGACGACGAAGAGTACAGGTTATTTAATAATTCATTGGTTTTTTTTGATATTTCATCCACAACATCTTGATCGGTAGAGCTTTGCTTTTCAGCTACACGAACAAATGTGATAGCAACATCTTTATGTGTTTTGGTCATCATGAATGTTTCTTTTGCTCTATGTGAAATAGTTATTTCGATTGTAGCTAGATTTATATAAACATCATAAAGATCTTCATGTTCTTCAATACGTGGATCATTAAATGTTGATAGAAAATTTTCACGACATTTCAAATCATTAATCTGTTCTGGACATTGTAGATCAACATTCGGAATGAATTGTTCATCGAGCATGTTTAATCGATGTTGTATGAACAATGGTAATGCCATAACAAATTCAAATAATGTCCGTGTATCATTTCCATAGATTATGATTCTTTTCTTCAACAATAATGCCGTGTAAATGAGAATCACATCCAATGAAAACATTTTTATAATTGACCGTAATTGTGATTGTAATTTTTTCATATCAAATTCATTTTCAATACAATTGTCACGTTGAAAATAAAGTATTCGTTTACCATCATCACCATTATCATTGATCATCACTTCAATACGATCCATAATTATCAAAGTTAGATATTCATTCAATAATTTTTGAATAGAATTTTCAGTAAGAAAAATTTCAGCAAAAATTTTTAATAATTTTTGATAATATTTTGGATAGAAATCGATAGTCAACAATACAAAACTGAATCTTTTCGATTGATTGGTAAGGATGTAGATGAATTTTTCACGTATTTTATAGAAAGTAAATTTTCCTATTTAAAATCAATATAATATGCAAAGAAAATTTATATATTTAAATTAATTATCATCATCATTAGCAAATGTTTATCACCTACCATAGTCATATGTGAATATTGTTGACAATGATGATGATGATGATGATGATGATGATATGGCTAAACGTTTTTCAATAAAAAAACGTACATCATTATCAATAGATGGATAAGTCCAACGCCATAAATATCGACTACTACCAATTATTTCAATTTCATCAACCATAAATTCATCAACATCATCCATTCGTTCTTCAATCAAATGTATTGACAATAATGTTTTATATGATTTTAACATTGTGTTTTTTTGTTGTTGTTGTTGAAATTATTCTATCTTATGACTGAATCATCAATGAAATTCATTATCCACAAATTCCTTGTTGTTGTCATTGTTTGTGAATTCTGTTTTGGCACGACGAAAAAAAAAATTCCGGATCATGCGCTACGATTCTGTTGAGCAAATACTAATGAAAAAAAAATTGGAACACTAATTTTGGCGCCGATTCTTTCATAATTGCTGTAACTGGTTGGAACTATTGTCAGTGGATATAACAAAATTATCATTGAATTCAATGATTACAAAGACCAAAAAAAAAATATCGTACCAGACACTCATAATGTAACCGATAAGATTATCATTAATGTAAATATTGTCTTTGTTTTTTTTTTTTTTTTTGATTTGTTTCGTTCGATACTATGTTTTTGGTCATTTTTCTTTATTGTAGAAAATTTTGACGATTTACTTAAATTCGACTTTCATCGAGCAAAATCTTTTCATCGAACAACAACAACAACAACAACAACAATGCCATTCAATATAACATTTTTACGAAAAAATTGTACAGAAAATGAAAAAACTTATAAACAACGTAAATCATTCGGTGAGTGCAATCATTAAAACAAATTTAAACTAATATTAATTTTTGCTCTGTTCAAAATTCATTTATAGCTATGCGCCGTGAAGAAGTATTGGGAATTCGGACAAAATTTCCAAATAAAATTCCGGTAAGAATTTAAAAATTGAAAATGGATTCAAATGAAAAATTGAAATTAACATTTCTATATTTGAAGATTATTGTTGAACGTTCACCAAAAGAACGATCATTACCACGATTGGATAAGACTAAATTTCTTGTTCCACAAGAATTATCAATGGGAAAATTTATGACTATAATCAGGTAAAATGGAATGAATAAAAATTGAAAAATTTTACGATATAATCAATTATTATTATAAACCAATACAGAAATCGAATGAATTTAAACACACGATATTCAATGCATTTCATGATCAATAATAAAACAGTAGCGGTTGGAATGACTCGTACAATGAACGAAATATATAAAGAACATAAAGATAAAGATGGTTTTCTTTACATAACATATTCATCGCAAGAAATTTTTGGGTAAAATTTTACACCCTTCAATTTATTGATCAAGAAAGAATCCAAAAAAATGGACATTATGTACATATTGAAAATATCATAATAAAAATTATAATGAAAAAAAATACGACTCGAATCTATTATCATTAGAATCCATATTTTGCTCTTGTCTGTGATTTCGATAGACGATTCTGTGCCCATTGATTTTTTAATTCTAATTCACGTTTTTTAGCCTGATAAGCAAGAAATGTAATCTGATTCTTTCGTTTGGCCGTTGAATTTGGTGCTTTTGCTTCCAGTGCTTCATCTACGATATCTTTTTCCAATGAAATATTTTTTAACCAATCTTTGTTTTCTGACAAATGTTGATTAAGATTTACATCGATAATTTTGATATTCTCAGTATTATCATCGAATTTTGATGCAATGTATTTTTTATATGTTATGTCATCATTTGGATCAAGATAATGGATCGATGATTGTTCTTCTTGTTCGATTGGTTTGGATGGGCCATAAATTGGTGCCGATATTTTTTCCTCTTCAGCTTGGTATGATGATGAACAGGGTGCAGGTGGATAGTTTAAATCCATAACTGTTTTATTATTCGTATCTTCTGTCAGCCAAGGTTTTGGAATCATTTTGATTTTAACATTATCATCATCATCAGCATCATCGTCGTCATTGTCTGAATCAGCGAAAAAGAAATTTGAAACACTTTCTTTTTCTACCGTTTTTAATTTTGTAGATAATGAAGTTTTTTCAGAAGCTTTTGTACGATTCGAAACAGAATTCGGAACCAAAGAAACTAGAGAAGAGGTTGTTGATCCATTTGTGGTTTGTTTATCGCTGTTTATGATAGTTGTTTTAGGTTTAGGCAACATTGATATCAAACTTGAACCTTTTTCCGAACGTTTCATGCGTTTTCGTGCACGATTATCTTCATCATCGGAATCACTATCTTGTCGATTCGTCACTAAGTCATCATCAAAAGCTTTAATTTGTATCCGAGAATTTGATGTGATGAAATTTGTTGGTTTTGTAAGACTTTTAAAAGTTAATGAAGAAAGTGATGATGATAATGATGGACGAGAATGAACATTTGTGGATTTTATATCTGAAATTGAATGAATAGATTTCTGTTCATTTGATTCGGATTGCAAAGTTTCTGAAATTACATCGGATTCATTTTCATCATCATCATCACTAGAACCATAATTAACCAAGGACATTTTTTTCGGCTAAAAATTGAATGAAAAACGAAAATTTTCAACGATAAAATTTGGTGAGCCAGAATAAATGTTTATGTCAACGTTTGGTGCGCTTCGATCGCTGTTGTTTTTCTTTTTGGATACGTAATCATCATCATTCGAATGAATTTGAATAATAATTTTTCGCTCTCGTGATAATTCTCATTCCATTTTTAAATCAAAACAAAATGGGCCTTTGTAAATGTCCTAAACGTAAAGTGACCAATCAATTTTGTTTCGAACATCAAGTGAATGTCTGCGAATATTGTATGATTGATGGCCAACATAAAACGGTAAGCTGAATGTTTTTTTTTATCATAAATTTAAATTTAATTTCATTCATTATTTAGTGCATTGTTGGCCCGTATATGAACTGGTTGGATAATAGTAGCTATGAAAGTCAATGTAATCTATGTCGAACAGATTTGAATACAAGCCAATGTGTTCGGCTTTGCTGTTACCGTATGTTGTTGATTCTTTTTAATTTAAAATTTACAATAATTTTGCCCTTTCCCTGATCATAGATATTGTTCATCTTGAATGTCTTGATAGATATGCCAGTAAATTTTCGCCGAATACAGCACCGGCCGGTTATACTTGTCCATGCTGTATGAAACCAATTTTTTCATTTACATCTCGTACACCGATAACCATACAATTGGAGCAATTACTTTCATCATATGCATGGGCTAAAGAAGGTATTAGCCTTCTAAACAGTGGTGAAAATTCACAATCATCGGCTATGAATGGTCAGGCAAGTTTTTCATCATTACTTGATGATTCTACCAAAATTACTATGCCATCAACATCAACATCAACAGCGATAGAAAATCGTCAGGAAAATTTTCAGCCAAGAATTCTACACAATTCTTTACATACGAAAATGAATTATTCAACCGCGGCACCAATCAATGTAAGCAATGTGACCAGTTTCATATCAACAAATAGTGATCTAAGTTTTGGTTCAACATCATCGATGAGATCAAAATTCGATAATGAATCACGCCGTCCGTTACTTTCAAGTGTAAATGAAATAGCCGAAGATAAATATCGAACCAAATCACCGGTCGAATTTTTTTCACGTTGGTTAAGGTAATTGATGATGATAAATGATAAGCTATAACAAAACTAATAATTTTTAATTTATTTCATAGATCAAGATCTACATATATAAAAAATCAACGTACAATGTCCAGCTTGAATCTGTATAAGAAATTCATTATCTATGGATTTTTGGCGTTCATATTTCTATTCATTGTTATTCATTATTTCATCAAATATGGTCGACAATCGGCCGAGAATGATCCATTTCTTAATCCAGAATTTGATCCAAACATTCGTAATCATGAAGATTAATTTTCAAAGTTTTATTCTTTTGAAATCAAATATCCAGTCTGTGAATAATAATTGATTTATTGGAAAAAAATATTGAAATAAATTTAACAGATTTTATAATGACAATCAGATTCATCAAACATTTGTCTTAGACGATGATAATTTGGTTTGTCCCCATCGATCAGATCACAAACATAGGTAATTTCATCGAACACTGTCGAACGACCGGATTCAATGAAACCAAATATTTCGGTAAACATACGTTGTGAATGAATATTGGATGTTTTAATTTTTGCCTGAAATTTTTGAATACCCAGAATTTCGTGACCAAATTTCATCATTAACATTGTCGCTTCACGACCATAGCCTTTTCGTCGTGCACTTTGTTCGGCAATCATAATTTCAATTTCAGCCATCGGTGCTTGTTCATTATCATCATCATCATCATCATCATGGCAAATGTATAGATTAACATCACCAATCATTGATTCAATTTCACATTCAATTGGATCTTTCGGTGAATTTTTCTGTTTCATTTCGGATTCATAATGTTTACGATCTAAAATGATGAATGTACATTTCTCAGGATCATTATTCCATGATTCAAGCATTTTATATTCATCTTCTAATGTTAATGGTTCAGAACCGGTCAAATATTGTAGTTGTGGATCTTGCATCCAGCTATTATAACGTGATACATGATGTGATCGATAGGGAACCAATATCAAACGATTGGACCATATTTGATGTTTCTGTTTCATTTCGACGTTTTTCACTAACACACGTTCGACGTTGGACATTTTGTTTTATATTGTGTTGAATTAAAATTTAAATTTGAATAAAAAAGAATTGAAATTTAAAGTTGCAAAATGAATGTTTATTTTTTTTGAAGCAAAAGTAACTTTTACATTTTGTTTATAAAAGAGGAAGAGAATATATTTAGATTTCTTTCACTTGAAGTCCTGGTGGTAGTGATTGTTTCAATTTTTCTGCCTTTTCCTTATCATTGATGACCAACGTGTAAAGATATTTCGAACAACGAACCTTGAATTTTGTTACGTTATCCTTATTCTTCTTGATTTTCACCGATTTTGCATCTTTACGACGAGCAGTAAGAAGAAAATCTTTTATTTCTTTGATTTCTTTAGGCATTTTGAAAAAATGTTATGCACTACCTGATTTAGGATAGAAGAAAAAATTAATTTTGATCGTAAAACATGAAGAAAATCAAATAAAAATTTACCAAAAAATTTTTGCCAAATCACAATGTGGCCTGAGACGAAAGAAAGCGTGAGAGGAAAAGGAAAAAACAGACTATTTCAACCACAAAAGTATACCCAACCGACTTTTAGAATATGGATGGCGCTGCATTCGCCCTATTTATAATAATAATTTTTTAATTCTGACAAGAAATGGGAGTTTAATTCAAAATTTCAAAATTAAAATTCATTTCGATTCATCTTTTTTTTTCGCCTCAGTTGATTGTATCATGGTCTTGATTATCTTGCTGTTTTGAGTTGAGGAAATTTAGAATATCATGATGAAGCAATTTTTTCGATTCTTCAGGATCAATCGAATGTAAATGTGGAAAAAGTTTTCGTTCCATTGTATCATATAGATTCGAATTAGTTATGGCCGTTGAAATTGGATTTTGAGTTGAGCTATCATCCTCTTCGGGTATAGAAACCGTATCCGAATTTGTTGCACAAAAATCAAATAAACCATCACGTTTTAATGCCAATTCTTTAAGCATTTTTTCGCTTGTTTATCCGTTCGTTGGACATTGGAATTCAATTTTTGAAGGCGATTTTCTAATAAATTGAAGACAATAAACATTTGTTATTAATTTATGAATTGGAAAATGAATACTAACCAAGATAATTTAGATATTTTTGTGAATCTGGTAAACAAAGGCCATTTTCATTCAATTCACCATTTTTGGACAAATCAATATCGAAATTATCATCGAAACAATGTTCCGATTTTTCCACATTATTTTCATTCGAATTCAACCATGGATCATTCATATTATCGGCTGATAATTGTGATTCAGACGTTAAAATCGTTGTATACATTTTCATTGTTTACAAAGACTTTCGTTTGACAAGTCCAAAATAAAAATGATTTAAGTGATTGAATAATAAGACGAAAGATGGAAGTAGCATCGAATAGTTAACAATCGAATTTTTACCAGTTAAATTTCAATGATGATTTTCACAAAGTTCCTGATTGTTTTGAAATGAAATTTAACGATTCATTCGGAGAAAATTCATTCGATTTGGCAGGAATTTCCATATTTATCGAAATCATAAACATTGTCATTTATTTATTCAATTTCTTGTTTGTTGGTGCTCTGCTCTATCTGTTATGGTGTTTTACGATCTATATGGCCGAATTAATCTATGAAAAGGAATATTTTTTCTCAAAGAAACGAATTTATTACACTAATCTTGCCGATTAAAATTGAAAAAATAAATTGAAATTTTTTTATCAACCGATTATTTATAGCGCGTTTTTAACTTTGATTCTGAAGCCAGTTTGGGTGAAAATAGTGAGCAGTTCGTGATTCGATTGATTGATTCGATTTGAATTTTATTCTAATTTGTTTCAACGCCTACAATTATAATGGATAGTGAATTTGAATTCCTGATTAATTCGTTGAATATTTCATCAAAATATCCACCGGTAAGTTTTAAATCAAATTGTCTATATGAAATTATCATATTATTTGTTTTATGAAGAACAACCTACACATAGATTTAAAATCTGATTTATGGCTAAGATGTCAACAAATCATAGCGAATCTGAAAAAAGATTCCGAAGCATTCGAAATACTACAAGAATATTATATTTATAATTATCGTTGCTATCTGACCTATATGCTCAAAGAATATTGGTCAGATTTCCTACAGAATTCATCGAAATACAAAGAAATTGTTCCATCACAACATCGATTAATTTTTCATAAATTCAATCAACTTAATGATTTCATTTCAAATTGGCTTTACCAACCATTGCTCGATTTATTATTCGATTCCAATGGTGAACAGACTCGAAAACTTAATGAAATTCTATACACCGGATTGATTGCCGATATGCCATTATTGTTTTCCAGTTTTTTATTCAATACATTTGCATTTTCATTCGCAGTTCTAGATTATACCGTCGCGAACAAAAAGAAGGAAACGATTGGCCATGAACAATCGAAATGTAAAATTTGTCGATTCAAACGTTCCGATAATAATGATAATGAAAAGGCTTGTTATTGTGAAAGTATGAGCAAAGGTTTCATTCCATTCCTGAATGTACTACGTAAATTGGGCATATTTCATCAGCTTTGTGATGATATCATCAAAAGTGTTTTATTCAAAATGATCGAACGACAGATTTGGAATCTTTGTAAAGATAAAAATTTCGAACTAAGTTGTTTAAGTATAACATGTTCATGGCTTGAGAACAGTATAATTGATTGGATGAAGATTATCTACATCATCAAATCAACGGATGAAAATGTTCCCGATATGTTTGTTGCACTCGAACAATATAATACAGCGATAGCAGCGGTAGAAGATGAACCGATGAATAAATATAATAATACTGGCAGTGGAAATGAATTGAATACTCTTTTTCTCAAAAATAGTAGCCTAACCTTATTCGATCAAATTGAAAGTTTAAATCTAAACATTATTCGCAGTTTTCTCACGAATACCTATATTTTTAATCGAATGAAACAATTATTCGACATAATCATCGATTATCCATATTCTGAACCAGCTATCTATGATCTACATGAGTGTATACAATTGGAACCATTTTATCGTGAAATATTTACACATTCATTGAAGAATGCATTGGAAATACGTTTATTACATGCCGGTGTTGCTACCAGTAGTATAATTGAAGCATATCTAACCACAATCAAAGCATTACGTTTATTAGATCCACAAGGTATCATCCTGCAGATTGTTTGCGATCCAATTCGTAATTATTTGAAAACACGTGAAGATACTGTTCGTTGCATAATAAACATTCTTACTACTGATAGTATTGTTAATTTCGATGATCCTGATCATTTTAATAAGCTAATTAATGATGAAGATGAATATGTAATGGATACATGGCGTTCATGGGTACCACAAACAATTGGTGTTTCAAAAATGAGTAAAGATTTAGCCAATTCAGATATAATATCAATGTTGATCAATATTTTCGATAGTAAAGATTTATTCGTACAAGAATATCAACGTTTATTGGCACAAAAATTGATTCTTACACCGGAAATTAATCTTGAATCAGAATTACGAAATTTAGAATTATTATCATTAAGATTTGGTGAATCTGAACTTCATAATTGTGAAGTAATGCTTAAAGATCTTAAAGATTCTGAACGTATTAATCAACAAATTAATGGATTCGATGAAATGAAAACGGCTAATCTGAAAATGAATGGCCTAATATTATCTGAACAATTTTGGCCTGATAATCTTGGATTTACTAGTAATGAATTTAAAAATTTTCGTCTACCCAATGAAGTACAGCAAGTGTTTGATAATTATAAAAAATTTTTTGAAACATTAAAAGGAAATCGTACGGTTAATTGGATACAACAGCTAGGAATGGTAAAATTAGAATTAGAATTCCCGAACGGTAGTCAAGAATATTCGGTTCGTCCAATTCAAGCGGCAATTATTCATCTATTTCAACGAAAAAATCAATGGTCCACGACTGCAATCGCACAGGAATTGGATGTTTTACCATCAGTCATACGGCGAAATTTATCGTATTGGAAAAATATTGGTATCGTAAAAGAATGTGATGGAGAAGATGATTCGCATATGATAGTGGAAGATTTACCACCACCATCATCATCAATGATGAAACAACAACAACAACAATGTTCAGGTTTAAATTCACAAGAATTCGATATGATGTTCATCGATCATGATGATGATGATAATGATGATGGTACAATGAATAATCAGCAAAAAAATGAAAATAATCTGCATTTATTCTGGAATTTTATTGATAATATGCTGAAAAATTTACATGCACTTTCATTAGATCGTATATATTCAATGTTGAAAATGTTTAACATGCAATCACCGGAAATTGAAAATCTATCCATGCATGAATTACGTGAATTTCTTGATCGAAAAGTTTATGAAAAAAAATTAATCTTTATCAATGGCCTATATGATTTGAATAAATCGGATGGTGAATGAAAACAAAAAAAAAAAAAATGATTCATGTGCAGATGTGATTTTTTTTTTGATTTTGATTTCTATTGTTTTGTTGCTTTATTCACACAAATCATAATAATCAAAATTTATTTGCTGCCAAACATCAAATTCATTTTGTTCATTTATTTCAAATGTTTGCTGTAATGATTTATTCGTATCGTTTCCGTGTGATATTTCGGCAAAATATGATTCTTGTTGTGTGAATAAAATTTCATTTCTTGAATTTAATTCAATTTCATTATTATAGTTGCCACCATTGGTCATTGATGACAATGTTGTTATGCAGAATGTACAAACTGATCGTTTTGGCTACTACTGCTGCTGCTGCTACTGCTATTCTGTTCATGTTCCAAGCGAGAACAAATGTTTTCAATCGGAATTTCTTGTGTTCTATGACCGGAATAAATAAATAATAAAAAAATCATAAAAATCGAATGTTGACATAATTTAATAATGATAACATATAATTACATGGCTAGGCAAACATTATTCAAATGTTGAATATAAGATGTAGCTAAACGAAGAATTTCAATTTTTGATAATTTTCGATTCAATGGAATTGTTGGTAATAAACGACGTAATCGATTGAATGCTTTGTTTACCGATTCTGTACGATTACGTTCACGTTCATTTGCAATCATACGATGATAAAGTTTTTGATGTTCCTGTTGTTGTCGAAATTCGGAAGATTTTTCCGGTCGTCGTCTAGAAGTTCTTGTGATCGGCATGTTTGTTTGTCAACTAATGATCATCATCATCATCGATGACGACGACGACGACGACGACAAAGATGAAAACATTTTCTTGTTTCACGCTTGTTTCAACACTAATGACAATAACATATGAACAGCCATAATCATCGTCATCGATGATTGATGACTATTGTGGGATCAAATTTTTTTTTTAGCTTCCGATTTTTTGTCTGTTTTTCAAGGCACACACACACACATTAATTATTTTTATTTTTCAAAGATTTAAAAAATAATTCATTTCTTATAAATAAACATAATTCAGTTTCGAAAAAATAAAGAAAAATCAAATGACAAATAGCAACTATAGCATTGATTATTATGAATATAATTGCTTTTGACCATAGGAATGTATGAATATCAATGAGATCTAACCAACGATACAGTGTTGAAAGCCCAATGAATATGATAACATATGACAACATTGTATGAATATTTGGTCGTGTTTGTCTTATGAATATCCATAGTGAATAATTTGGATAAACATTTCCGATAAACAGTAGGCTAATAATGATTCGGGTCATCATATTCAGACAATTAGCCATAATGAAACCAATACTACCAACATATGAAGTGATTATCAATGAAATTGCCGTAAAAATGATCGATGTTATCATTAGTTTAACATTGAATCGATTCAATTGTCCAGTATTCATCACTGCAAATGAATATGATTCAAGTATACCGTTAATGGCAATAAATATAATGTATATACAATGCCATTGAAATAGACGAATGGCCAATGTTCCATATGTTCCATGTAGGAAATTTGAACCACCATACACGGATAATACAATCATTGCACCATGATATCCATATGTAAATAATGTCAAACCAATTATTGTCATCAATTTCGTTAGATTTGAACAGATTGATAATGATTTTACAATTTTTGTCGTCTGTTGACTAGCATCCAGATCACGTTTGATAAGGCTTGAAAACAATATGTATCCATTTTCTTCGATTTGTTGAAATATAATCCGAGCCGGTAATGATCCAAGATTATTGATTACATCATATACACCTTGTTCAGCAAAACTAATGACCGAAAACATGGTCATTATATAACGTTCACCTTCAGTAAGAAATTGTTTCAATAATGAATTGTAGAAAAATGTTAATGATGTTTTTAACAGACTTAATTCATCTGTTTTCATATTATAATCTTCATCATTTTTTTCACGAAGAAATCTTGGTAAAAATGTTGTCATTGGTATTTTCATTTTCAATAGAAAATAAATATAATAAGTAAGAGAATAGATTGTCGAAGCAACAAGTTGAGCTATTGCAAAACCAAATACAGAATGTTCAGGTGAAATATAGACAAATATTGCTAATAATGAACAACGAACAGTTTGAAAGATGCCTTCAACAATTACTTTCAATCGAATATAATCATATCTTTGTCCATAGATGAAAAATGTTTCAGCCATGGATTCGATAATTACCGAAACATAGATCGACATGATTGCCCATTGATATTCTGAAAGTAAATGTTCAGGTCTTTCGAAAACTTTATACCATATTATGGAGAATGTAAGGCCTGTTATAAATGATAATGGTATGGAAAGAAATGTAATATTGACCACCTTAGACCAGGCTTTTTGATTCATTGATTTTGATACATTGTGATCATCATCATCAACCGAATTGTTTGGTGCACATGTTCGCCGAAATGGTTCTCTAGTGGTGAATTGTATTGTCGTATATAATAACAATAATCGTACATTGATTATACCAAGTGTTTCTTTAGTGATGAATCGAAGAATAAAAGCATTGATTATAAAACTAAAAATACGAAGACCAATTTGTAAAACTATATTATATGCCGTCGATATTGTTGTTGTTTTCAATTTAGATTTTATCCGCGGAGAATCTCCGTCATCGATTGCGTTTGGTTCCATAATATAATTTATTTATTTTCAAAAAATTGAACATTAATCAATACAAATGATTTGAAATTTTCATAATTTTCGGTGATTAGTTTTTCTGGAACAAAACAAATGATAAAAAAAATAAAAAAATTTAAGGTTGAATTTCGAACGTAAACACAGAATCTATTTATGGTTCTATTCATAAATGATGTAATGAAAATATTTTGTTTTTCGGATTTGACAATTAAAATTGTGCCATTAATTTATTCTAGTCAAAAAAAAAAAAAAAAAAATTTTTCAAAAAAAAAAACAAATACCACATGAAAACCATTCAAATGTTTGGCAATAAAATCAACTGGAAACATTATCCATTAATAGTTTTATCATTATTTATCATATTCTTCTCGTATATCGATGTGGTTGAATCAAGTGATAATCATCAATCGTCGCCAATCCTGAATAACAATGGAACTTCAAATGAAACAATGAAAAGAAATGAAAAGACATTTAAACCATCAGTATTGGGTAAATGCACTCGTTGTCGATTGATGAGTAATTCTTTATTCGAGGTAAAAGATTTGATTTATAGAATTGAATTGAAATCTGAATTTTTTTTTATAATTCTAGATAACTCGATCATCATTACTTTATGATGATAATGATGCTCAATCAATGAAAAAAACCAACAACAATTATGATTTCTCAAACATTTGGAACAGGCTTTGTTTCGATATTAAAGCCGGTCAGGATGATGTAATTAAATCTTTAGAATCTTTTTCTCTTTATGCGACACTAATCGATCGATGTTGTTTATTATTGTTTACTAAATTATTATTATAGTGCCGATCATATGCTGAAGAAAATTATGAAAAAATTCATCAATGGTGGAATGATCATTCATATGATATATTGGATCAATCTGATTTATCGTTAATCATCGTGAATGGATTATGTATTGAATTTTTAAAAGTTTGCTGTCCAGATGGACATTATGGCCATGAATGTAAACAATGTAATGGTTATCCTGATCGAATTTGTTCGAATAATGGAAAATGTGCTGGTTCAGGTACACGTTTAGGTAATGGGAATTGCCTCTGTAATCATGGTTATACAAATATGAATTGTGATTCATGTGCAAAAGAATTTTATCTAAATCAAACATTATTCCAACTGAATGGTACTATTCAATGTATACCATGTGATTCATCATGTTCGGGTAGTTGTTTTGATTCGGGACCAAAAGGTTGCCATGTTTGTCGTAATGGTTATTATTGGACAATTGATAATGGTTGTATCGATATCGATGAATGTGAATCATCATCATTAACAATAATGGGCAATAAAGATCCATGTCCATTAAATTCATTCTGTATTAATACTGATGGTTCTTATCATTGTTATCAATGTGATCCAGCCTGTAATGGTTGTGATGGTGATGGACCAGATTCAGTAAGTTTTTTTTAAAAGTTTGAAAAATCAATAATTCATATTTTGCAAATTTGAAAAAAAAACAGTGTTTAAAATGTGCTGACGATCATATATTGAAAGATGGTATCTGTATGAATCCTGATCCAAAACCATTAATACAACCATATGCATCACCGACACGTTATGCAACATATTTTGGTCTCTGTATTGTTACCTGTATCATATTTCGTCATAATATCTATGTTTCATCTGGTATTGGTTTAGCTGTAGCCCTTTATATAATGGCATCGGAAAAATCATTAGAAACCGAATATGGACGTACATTTGATAAATGGTGGAATAATGTATTTGGCTGACGATGATGATAAACGAACGAACGAATGTACAAGCATTAGAGACAACAAATTTTCAAGCACAACAAAACCAAAGTGAAAAAAAAACTTTGATCATTTTTTTTTCATTCGTATTTTTTTTATTTATTTATTTATACATAAATTTTCAAACATCAAATTTCATCATTGATGACGACAAAGATTTTATTACATTCTACAAATTCTAGTCAACTATATAAAATGATCTCCAGAATATTCTTTGTCTTTTGATGATAAATATAAATCTCTTATTATATACGCATTTCTTATGAGTTTTTTTTTCCGCTTTTTGCGCACCACTAAACTTGAAGTTTTTTTTTTTTTTTGATTTGATAAATAAAAGTTTCATATAATATAATAAATTATCACACACACACAGACGCATTTTATTTACAAGTGAGAATTTATTATTATATAATATAAAAAGAGGACAATAATCAATGGAAAATGAAAACTTGACAATTTTTTTTTTTTTTTTTGTTTTTGATGATAATAATTCAATAAATAAAAGCAAAAGTTTCATCAATTTCATGATTGAAAACAAAGCAAAAAAAAAATTCGCTTATACAACAATTATATTAGCGTTTTTTTTGATTTGTTTAGTTTTGTTTGTTTGTATCGCATATACAATACAAAACAATTGACGATTATAATTGATGATGATGGAATTGACACACACACACACATATATAAATTACCAAATAACAAAACAAAAACGACTGGATTGTTTATTGTGTTGATTTTATTTTTAGTGACGAAAAAAAAAATCAATTTTCATTTTTTTTCTTCTATTGGTGCAAAAAAAAGTGTTAATCATCATCGTGTGTTGATTTTGTTGTTGGAAATGTTTTCAAGATTTTTCGATTATATCAACAAAAAAACGGCCAACGATGATGATGATGATGATGATGATGACGATAATGATAATAATAATGATGATGATGAAGATGGTAATGGTAATGATGATAATAACAATGAAAAGCAAAATTCTGATTCAAATCAAAATGGTATGTGTGTGTGTGTGTGTCTCAATCGATATTGATCGAGATATTTCATTGATTTAATTTTTTTTGGATTGTCATCATAATTATTGTCATTACTGTTTAGTAGTGTCTGAATCGAATGAATCTTTGAAAAAAGAAAATTGTCAAACAAAATATGCCTATTTGGATAATGTCAAACATGTTGATTTAAATGGATTGATTTCAATGGTAGAGTTGATTGATTGATTGATTGGTTTTTTTTTAATTTTGTAAAACCAAAATTTTTTTTTTTTATCATTTGATTATTAGTCGGATGATTTACGTTCAAATGTTGAAATACTTAAAAATTCCTATCTTGCTATTGTTAATTCATTGGTCATATTGAATGAACGACGACGGCAACAGCGACGACGACGACGGCGACAACAACAACGAAAAACATCCAGTCAAATTCGACAACAATCAAGTAGTAATAAAACTCGACGTTCTTGGAGAAACAAGAATCTGTTCAACAACAACAACAACAACCACGAAGAAAATTATCAGATCAAGAAATTTACAATGATTCAGAAGTGATGATGATAAAAATGAACAACAACAACAACAACAACAAAATTGATAATAATTACAATTTGATTGGTGAAAATTTTTCAAATACGAAAAAAAACAAAACAACGACAATGGAATGGAATATTGAAAAATTTTGTGATCCAAAAACTCGTGAAAAGGAATTCCAATGGTTATTTGATCAAGTATATATATAACTTTATTATTATTATGGTATTTTTTTCATAGAAAAATTAATTTATTTTTTTTCTTTTCCAAAAAAAAAATTTATTTTGTTCTGGAAATGTTTGGTTTGATTCCACACACACACACACAATCCAAAAAGGCTAAACAATTTCAACAAACAATCCAACGTTTTCGAATCGGAAAAGAATCGATCAATATGGATCGATTTCGTGATCTTGTCAAACAAGTAAAGAATTTGAAGAAATTTTTTTTTCTATTTTTCATTGATTAACACTTTTTTTTCTATTTCTTTTTTTTTTTTTTTTTGTTTTGTTGTCAAAAAAAAAATAGGGCAAAAAACTATTACAAATCACTGAAATACTTAAAAATAATTATAGTAATAATTTTCTTGATATTTTTCGATTATGATAAACTCAGTGGGTGGTGGTTAGTGGTGGTGGGCGTGTATAATCTTGTCACGAATGTTGGATATTTTGGTGGTTGAACTTTTTGATGGAGAAAAAAAAAACACTTATACTTATACTTGATAATAAAGATAATGAAAAAAAAGTATTCAATACATGATGATAATGATACATTAAACCACCAACGCGACCATTTTTACATATTATGAATGAAGCAAGATAAATGACATGAATTTTTCTTTTTTTTATTATTCTTGAAAAAAGTTTGAAATTTGACGAAAAAGATTCAAACTTACTTATTCACCAGTGTGTCACATTTATACACAAACACAGAGAGAGAGAGAGAGAGAGACGGAAATGTGTGTTAACTCTTACTTATTTGATATTTATTACTTAAAAATTCTTAATAACATCTTTCATCATTTATTATTATTAATAATGATGATGATGATGATGATAATGAGGTTTTCACTTTTTTTTTGCTGGTAGTGGGCCGTTGGTAGGCGTGTGGTGGGTTAGTTATGAATGAATTTTGTGCTTTTTTTTCATTCTGAAAAATAATATTTTCTTAAGAATCAGAAAATTTTTTTTCCTGTATTAAGTTTTATGGTTTGGATTTTTTTTTTCGTTTGTTGTTACATTGTATGCCGGACAACGACAACAACAACAACAACAACAACAACAGCAGAGGCGGATGATGATGATGACAACTCAATGCAAAGAGAAAAGGGGAAACAAAATAAAATTTCTTCGTTGACATAACACTAATGGGAAAAGAATTCGATGTTTTTAGCATTTTTTTTATGCTTGCTTGACAGCTACAGTACAAAATGAAAATTTACTATTCACAAAATGATCTAGACACACATAAACATGTTATAATATAATATAATAAATTCATTCAATCGGGCAATCGGGATGATTTCTGATTTCAGATTCAAAATGTTTGTTATTTATGATTTGAAATTTCCGCGCTTTCGCCCATCATTTCTTTGTTCGAATGTTGTCCATAATATTCGAAATGTTAATTTGGCTATTTGTACCCCAACCACACAACACCCCCCACCCATATCATGTACAAACATTCGAATTTTGAATTGTAATTGACATTATTATTATTATTATGCATTTTATCAATGTGTGGATGTGTCAACAATGAATTTGGTTAATTTTTTTTTTGGTTGCCAACAACAACAACAATAACCACACAGAATAACATTGATAATGACAATTTTCATTTGAATAAATCCATCCAAATAATGATAATGATATGTAGAGTGAGAAAGAGAATCCAATGAAACTTTGTCAAATTGTCATATTGATTGATATGGAAAACAACAACATGCATGAATTTATTATATTGTATATATGCATGGTCATCATTCATCATCAAATTGACATTGTTATTCACCACAAATGTATCGATGGTGATAATCAATGATTTCAAATGATTTGAAATGTAAATGTTTGTGAAGAATCACAAGAAAAAAAAAGTTTCTTTCGTTTTTTTTTATTATTATTATTATTCTACACATGATTCATCTAAAATGTCCGAAAAAAAAGGCATGAACTCAGTAAACAAACATGTAAATAGAATCCAGGAACTTTTTTTTTATTCTTTTTGGCTCGAAGCCACTAAAAAAATCAAAATTTTTAGCAGAAAAATAATATATCAGGAAGAAGATGAAATTGTAAAATATTGTAAAATAGCGGAATATTTGCCTGTGTTGAAAAGGAATTTTTTTTTTATTTAATGATGCAGCATTTTTTTCTAATACATTGTTGAAACTTTTCCATGTGCACGCACATGTACAAGATGAAAATATTTATTTATTTAATAATTTTTTAATTTGATCGATTTTATTCCCATCACCATAATAATCGATAATATTTGCGAATGTTTTGTGTGTGTGTGTGTGTGGATGTGTGTTTATTATTATTATTATTATTTTTATACCGGAAATAATAATAAAATTTTTTGGCATTACTGATAACAAAACTGTTTATCATACGTGTATTTAAGTGTTGGAAGTTTCCGTTCCAGCATGGCTTTGTATGTGTGTGTGTGTGTGTGTGTGTGAGTGTTTCATTGGAAAAATGAATTCAAAATAAACTTGCAAAATATACCAAAAAAGAACTGTCTGTTTGTGTGTGTGGGTGTGTGCAGGCTGATGGTTGTGAATCGAGTGCAACAATGGTGGTGGTGGTGGTGGTGGTTGATATTATTGAATTGAATGTTATGATTATTTCATTTTTAATTAATATAAATATGACAATGAAAATTGATGACCCAAACAAATAAACAAACGAAACGAAACGAAACGAAAAAATGATGATGATAATGGTCATCATTTTGTTTGTGGATCATAAAAAAAAAAAGAAAATGAAAAATTCGATGACAATAATGTTATTTTTCTCTCTCCGTTTCGCTTCATTTATTATTGTCATCGAATTGTTGTTGTTGTTGTTGTTGTTGTTGTTGTTGTTGTTGTGTATTTGAAAATGAAACAGTCGTGAAACAAAAAATAGAAAAATTCAATGATGATTATGCTGTGAACCATGAATGACAATGACATTTTTAATTGTTATCAAAAAAAAAAAAAAAATTTTCCATCTTTTCCATGATTCTAATGTGCTGAAACATGAAAATTTTTTTCGTCATGAAAGGATTCATTTCTTTTTCTGTTTTTGACTTGTTGTTTTCTTCTTGGATGTTCAATACATTCAATTTTTGTTTTATATTTTGGTTCTATTCAATTTAGAATCTGTCCATTGCCCATTTTATTGCAAATGCCGGATTTCGATATGTGTGTGTGTGTGTGTGTGTGTGTATGGATGATAGGTATGGAAATTTTTTTTTTTTCCCAAATACCACTACCGATTATTTTTTCGATGAAGCGCATAGCGATACAAGAAGAGAAGAGAAGAGAAAAATTTTTGCACAGACATGGTAAGTCGAATTTGGGCATTTTTTTTTTTTTTGCTTTGTTTTATGGAACACAAAAACAACAACAACAACAACAACAACCAGACTGGAACAGAACAGACTATACCAAACAAAATGAACCATTTTGTAATGATGATGATGGTTTGGTGGTGGTTGGCATATAGTATGTGATGGAACTTCATCATCATTCATATAATAAAACTTTTATTTCGCGGTAAAAGCGATTTTCATTCTATCTTTATTTTCATCTCATTTTGTCGATTGGCGCGATGTGGGTTAATCGTTGTTGATCATCATCATTTGCAATCATTTCTCATTGTGTGTAGTGCGTCGTTTTTTCAAACCGCATTTTTTCAATTCAATTCAATTTTTTTTTGTTTTGTTTTTTCGGTATTTGAAATCATCATCAGTATCTAGAAAAAATGAAAAAACTATAATTTAATTCATGTCAAAAAAAAACTGAATAAATGAATAAATGAAAACAAAACCGCTGAAAATGATATTCGAATCTTGTACGATTTTTGCCATTGTCCATAACGTTTGTGACATCATTCACAATAACAACAACAACAACAACAACAACAATTCTTAAAGAACAAAAAAGACATCTTCAATTTAAAATTTTTGATCAATTCTCAATTGGGATATTTGCCATTGAATTCTGTGTGGATGATTTCCCATGATGATCATCACTTTTTATTTTGTTTCCAATGACAAACATTTAACCATAAATGATTCTATTTCCACATGACTATTTCGACACTATTTGTGATCAGCAAATAAAACGCTATCATTTTTTGTTTGCATTTGATTCTACAATTTTTTTTTTTTTTTTTTGATTGAAGGAATTATTTGATAGAAATATTCAAAGAATTTCTTCCTGTTTTTTTCCAGTTGTTGAAAAAAAAATTCACCATGGCATTTTGTTGTTTTTATCTATATTATTCAAGCACCAATTTTTTACCAATTATTTATCGAGCTTTTTTATCAAAATTGGCTAAATACAATATATTCGATGATGATGATGATGATGTAAAAATTGTCAAAAATTTCTACATTCATCATGAAGAACGTGTATTGCTGATAACGATGATGATGATGATGATGATGATGATATATTTTGTGACAAAAATTCAAACGAAACAACAATTGACATTGTCAACAACAACAACAACAACAACAAAATGCAAAAATCGAAATATAAAACATCATTATCATCATGAAATATGGAATTCATTCATAATAATCATTATTTATTTATTCGTGATAATCAATCTATCCTACGCTAATATAACGTTTCAATGGAAATGTTGAAAATGTTACTGTTATGACAACAAAAATGCCTGAAAAACGATCCATTACAACAGCGAAAACAACAACAACAAACAACAACACACTGTATCATTGCTCAATCCATCATCATTGATGAATCCAACACGAATAAAATCAACACAAAATCCAATGTTGATTGATACAATGATTACATCGGACATTTCAAATAATCAATTTACATCGTTCAACAATAATGAAAAATTGTCGGTCCTATTTGATGATGGTCAAAATATATCCAAATTGATCACATCATCATCAACAAAAAAACCACTATATGTAAGAAAACCGAAACTTGGTTTTGGTAATTTTCATTATTCAAATAATAATAATGAAATCGACATTAATGATGATATCGATAGTGATATTGATGATGGTTATGATGTTTTCAATGAAGAAGATTATGATGAAATGATTGATGGTAATTATGAGAATCAAGAATTTAAGAATTTAAATCATACTACTACTAATCATATTACAATTGATAATCATGATGATGATGATGATGATGATGATGGGAATCAATCGTTCGTCGAAAATTTTTTAGATCAAAATCTATTATTTGATCTGGATTATTTGACAAAAGTACCGAAAATAGATCGTATACTTATTGTTGGCGATCCAGAAAAATTGCCCACGATCGATAATTATCAATTGATGATGCAACAACAAGCATCTACGCATAATAATTTAGATTTTTTCGGTTGTTATTGTGATCATCCTTATTATACTAACAATCATGATAGTGATAATAATTCTATTCAACAACATAATAATGAAATTTCTTTACCACAAAACCATCACCGACAACAACAACAACAACAACAACAACAACAACAACAACAACGACAACAACATCGGCATGAACTGCCAATATTTTGTAAATGTTTTGGTGAAACTGTAACGGAAATTCCAAAGAATTTTTCTCATTCTGTACAAAAAATGTAAGTAAAAAGCAACTTTGATTTGATGTCATGCAGATTGCATTTCTATTTTCTATTTCAATTCCAATCAATTCAACTTTAACGAAGGAAATTTTTGTTTCGATGAAAAAAAAATATCTCTCAAAGGAATTCTTTTTTTTCTTCTTCATTTTTTCTTATTATTATTGAAATGAAAAAAAATAGGAATTAAACCATAAAAGGATTCGCATG